TTGCCATTGAGGTTTCTCAGCTGGAAGCAACAATTAGTCAATTAAGGGAAGAGGTCACAGAGAAAACTTCTATCGTTGAGAATTTGGAGAGAACGCTAGCCGAGAAGGATGAAAAGGTAAATGAAGCAGTAGAGTTGAACAGATTGTCATTGATTACGATGACAAGTTGAGTAAGTTAGAGACAACCATGGAATTACAGAGGACTTTATTGATCGATCAGTTGAGTTCTGTCTCTAAAATTCATAACCAGACTTACCATGTTATTAAGATCATTGATGCAAATCATTCTGAAGTGTCGGAATCCTTGTTTCTTCCTCAAGTAACAGACAATGATGGACTTATACGCGCCTCCTTGGCAGGGATGGAATCTATATATGAATTGATTAGGATTGTTGCCGAGAAAGCTAAGGATGTGTTTGAAAATAAGAATAATGAAATCAGGACTTTGGAAGATACAGCTACTCGATTAGTTAGGGAGAAAGATCAAATTGGTTCTTTACTTAGAAGTGCTTTGTCGAAGAGGATAACATCTGATCCATCTTCCAGAAAAAAATGAGTTGTTCCTAGCTGCAGAAAATGGTTTGAGGGAGGCTGGGATAGATTTCAAATTTAGTAAGCTTCTTGGAGACGGAAGGGATGCAGCTTCAAACGACAAGGCAAATGTAACGGAAAAAGAAGAGGATGACATATGCTCTTTGGTAAGTGTTTGTGCTAGCATTGTTTTGTTTCATTGTAAATTATTGCCTTTAATGTTGTTTGCACTTTGAAGTTTCCGTGGTGAGTTTTATATTAATATACTGCTCACAGGCTGCTGCTTTGGAGAACGTTGTTAAGGCCTCTCAGCTTGAGATTATTGATCTGCAGCATGCTAGAGATGAATTAAGGTACATGACTGAGAAAATTTCCGAAATTTTTACTGTGTATCTAATTTGAAATTGGCTGAAAGAAAATCTTCTCATTTTCACTCTCTGGAGATTATGTATAATTTCAGTTTTTAGCTATGCTGACCTTTCCTTTTTTAAATTTATTGTGGGTTTTACTACTTTGTTCAACTGAATTAAGGACAGAGTTGAGTTTACTTAAGCAGCACGTCGAAGATCAGGCCAAAGAGCTGAACCTTAGAATGCAACGAATAGAAGAACTTGAAGAGAAGGAGAAAGTTGCAAATGAAAGTGTATGCTTACATATCTTTTCTTCGTCATTAGATCGATCAGTTACTGTCACCCAAACACTGGTTAAATTTACCTGTCATTTGTCATGCAAAAAGGAAAAAAGAACTAATCATTTGCGTATTGTCTATCAATGTTGAGTATGCTGTGGATTGTATGATAGGATTTAACTGTTAATTCTTCTTTGATTCTAAGTATGAACTTAACCTACTTATGATGTAGGTTGAGGGGTTAATGATTGACATTGCTTCTGCTGAAGAAGAAAAATTAATAGATGGAAGGTGGCAGCAGAGCAAGAAGCTGGCGCAGGAAGAGCTGTTGAACAAGAATTTGCCACACAGGTATGCCCCTGTTATAGCAATCTTACTGGATATTCACGATTATTTGTTGGGATTAAATAGAATGATTATGTTAATCACAGATGGAAATAATTATTTTTTCCTCTTAATTTTGTAAATTCCACTATTCTCATAATTCAAGCTTCACTAAATATATAAACCGTTCAATGGTAAAGTTCCAGCTTTGGTTGAGCAACAATGAAATGTGAAATTCAAAATTACTGAGCCAGATTGCTGGTTGCTATTGTGCACTCATCATATTCTGATGTGCCTCTTTTAAAGTACTCTTACGGGTTTGCTCAACAAGTTTATCACTGTAATAACAGCAGGTTAATATTGTGTGTGTTACAAAATTCGATATTTACATTGCTACTACTGGCTAGTATTCCTCGTTGAAGATGCAATATTCCTAATTACTGGTTGGAAAATCTGCAGCTGTCAGCAGTTAAGCAGGAACTTGAGGAGGCAAAGCAATCCATGCTGGAATCGGAGAAAAAACTAAAATTCAAAGAAGAGACGACAACTGCTGCAATGGCAGCAAGGGATGCAGCAGAGAAATCTTTGAGGCTGGCAGACTTGAGGGCATCACGGCTAAGGGAAAGAGTGGAGGAGCTTACACGTCAGCTCGAAGAGTTCGAGAGCAGGGAAGACTCAAGGAGCCGAAGTAGGCCTAGATATGTGTGCTGGCCATGGCAGTGGCTTGGCATGGACTTTGTAGGACCTCATCGGCCTGATGCACAACAATTACAGGCTTCAAATGAGATGGAGCTCTCTGAACCTTTCTTATAATTGCACCATTTGTTCTGCTTTTCTTATTGTGATTTCTTCATTTTCACATTTACCGAAAATGTAGCTTGTAGCACCAATCTCTTGAACAATCTCTTTGGTGGAGCAATGGTGGTATTAATGGGCCACCATTATACTGTACAGCCCGAGTATCTGCTGGTTTTGACCTACCATCTGGTTGACCTTTGTGATCCTCGCATTGACACATTTGTGATGTTCTTTTTCCCAAAATTTAGAAAGATGGTTGTTTGAGCTAGGCACGCGTGGGCATGTCCAAGGGGCGATGCTTGAGCTTGTAAGTCAAATACTGTGAACACATCACATTTTCTTTCACTTCAGCAGTGATATACGGATGCCCCAGCCCTTAGCTAAACCATGTTCTTAATCACAGATGGGTCTGTCAATCAGGGTTGCAGCTCGGAGGCTGTTCAGGAAGAATGGTTTCCTTTGCTATGATGAAAAGAGCCCTTTCTTTTGAGAAGATTGAGTTGAGATATTTACAGCAGAAGGAATTAGTGATCATTTCCAAAGGAAAAATAGAGAATAGGAATGAGCATCACCTAGAGGAATATCACCAATGATTCATTTCAAGGCAAATCGCGAAACGTGTATAGCTGTTTGTTTGGGAAGAGTGGAGACAATCTTTCTAGTTCGTTTCCTATTTTTTGTCTTGGTTAATTTTCCAAAGACAAAATATGAAGAACTTGAGCTTTACTAAGTCTGAATTTTACTGTTAGTGTATTGTACTAATTAATCTTAAACACTTGAATAAAAAAACTAAGTTTTAATTTCCTGTTTTAATTCAAGCAATGTGGCAAAGCTGTCCCTAAATTGTGAATTAAAATATTTTACAATCCGACTAATTGCATTTTCCCATATCACTTTCTTCCCAAATAAATAAATGCATACAAGTAAAAGATCCATTTTTCTAGACTATATCTAGGAGATGCTTTTGAATTACAAAAAAACAAATTATAAGTAATCTAAAACCCACCAGAATATACTCGAATGAATTAAAGATGGACTAACTCGTTAATTAAAATTAGAGAAAAAGTAATTTTGGCTGATCAAATATAAAAAAGTTGTTAGAGAAAAGATGAGAAGTTGTGTTGAGAATAATCTAATTTTAACTTATTTTGATGTAAATTACCAAAATAAGCTAGAAGTAAGTTTTCAACACATTACCATCTTTACAAGTTACCCCCTTTTTATAGTATAAGCACCCCATATCCTAAGTCAAACCATCTTTCAGGCACAACAACTAACTCAAACTAATTCGAATCAAGACATGACAGGAACCATTAAAGTTGACGCTACTGGCTCCTAAAATGCTGCATTCTCATATCTCGAACTCAAAACTCATGGTTAAACTAGAATAGTCCCAACCAGCTGATCTAATTATCGCAGTTAGCCACTCCATTATATTTATTCAACTGAAACCACTTTTTTTTTTTGGTAATTTTAAACAAGCAAGCCTAAATCTAAAATCGATTGCTGTGAACCAGGATGAAAAACATCACCCACTAGACCAGCTCTGTAACTTGGCCAACAGACGCCTGAACGGTCAAAATCAAACCGATGCTGCCGCAAGTTGAAATCCGCTCGGAGTCGGAGGGGCCAATCTGGCCGCGTGGTAAATGCCTTGGGGAAATTTCTCCTCAAACTTCCTTAAGTAGAACTACTGATTGTATAAAGAAGCTTAAGGCAAGCTCTGTTTTATTGCCATGAATATTTTTCATCCCCACAAAATGGGCACTCAGAGATGTCAGATGTGTGTCCAACAGTTGAACTTGACAGTATAAGCTTACCGACTTCCTGAACACTGACTTCTAACAATTCCTGGTTACATTTCGCTCGTGCTGCTAGTATTTCAACAGTGTAGAATCGAATTCGAACTCTGCCATGGCATTAATCAGATAAGGAAGACTGCCCCTGCAAATTTTAATAACAACAGTGAATTTACATGTTTTTTGGTTTTTACCAAAAACAGTGGATTTACATCAGTGTAAAATTGTGTAATTACCATCATATCCTACGGCAAACTACAACAACTAGTAATTCATCAATAGAAAATATTACCTCCGGCCCTTAATATAAAAACTAGTTGGTGGGTAAGATTTGATCCTATAAAACCTCAATCCACTTTGTCTTCCAAATTTATGATTTTTTCTTCAAAATGTCTTTATTGATTTTAAGGAATTCCTACCAAAGAGTTGTTCCAATACACATGATTAATGAGAATAGTTTGAAGAAATCAACACATATTTATTATAAATGACCAACTTAACTAATATTTTTAATATATTCAAATTAGTTACTAACTCTTATATTTAACACCAAAGGTAGCATATTTAAAAGATGTATCAAAATATGAACTGGTGCCTCAAGCAACACATCTTAGCATTAGCAATTATTCCTCTGGTCTTATTTATAAGGAAGAGAAATAAGAGATTTTTTTTGTTGTCCTATATATAAGACAGAAAGAGAAATTTTTCACATGAATGTATAATTTTACCCTTCATTTGTTATTGTGTTGACTTTGTTTTCATGAGATATAATATATATTAAATAGGGATAAAGTTGAAAATTTGTTGAATTTTTCAGGAAAGTTCATACAGTTTAAAGTTTTTATTGGTCTGTGTGAAATATATTAGAAGTGACTTATAAATAAGACCAAAGGAGTAATAATAACTTCAAAAGATAAAGTCCACATCTATATCAATTAAGACCGAAGCATAATGCGCACAGAACTTCAGCTTAAGTTTTGTCAGATGAGAGCAAATTCAACATACTAGGAGATTGACATTATATTTTATGTTAAAGAAACTAGATATGTAGCAAGAAAGCAACATGTTTACATGTCACAAGTTCTTGGTTTCACCACAACTACATGGAATATGACCTGGCACAAATTCTTTTCTTTATATTGAGTGATTAAATGATATTATTTTTCATGCACTGATGAGCCAAAAAGTGGCAGAAAACTTACCAAATATCTTGAGATTCGGTATTTCAGAATCCTTCAACAACGTTATGCAATCTCTAAAGGATACATGCGTCCAAGCATTTTTCATTTTGTTCTCTTAATCTTGTATCAGATAGGAGTTGGCAGAGGCAAAGAGGACAAAATAGTGTTACGGGTTGAAGCAAATTCTCCGCTTAAGAAAACGTGCTGAGTTTAAAGAACTTCAAACATGCTTGGATACGTGCAGGTTGCATGGAGACATTTTCCTAAACAAACTTGCTTCATCCTGCCATGTACACGGGTGAATTACATCACAGGACAGTCAAAATTTTAACAAAGTATTCACGAGGTAACGGAAATGCTAGATTAATCATATATAGACTAGAGTAGCATTCAGATTCATTGTACTACATTATAGTACACCGTACACATTGGACTACATAATACCTTTTAGCTCATAAACATCTGCGTAAGAGGGAGACGTATCTGTCTTAAACGTTTCATTCAAACAATTTCTCCTCTAGTTTTGTCTTTTCCCCTCAATTCACAGAAAGCAATAACATATCATATAAGTTTGAAATTTCAAACAATATAAGCCAACAAATCTGGATTTTTCTTGCCAATAGAAATCACAAACCACAAAAAGGTTGCAAGTTGTAACAGCACCACAGTTTTTTTTTTTTTTTTAAAAAATAATGTTATTCAATTGAATACTTAAAGCCTGGGCCCAACAAGGCTAACTAGGGGATCTTCTCTTCTTCAACGATCACCTGTTGCATTATAAGAAGTCTTGGAACTTAAATGTATAGCCAGATATTCACCCATTAGATAATGTCCAAGAAAGCCAGTGCTTTAAAATCTGAAAAAAAAAAAATTTCCGTTCAAGGATGTACCAGGGTAAACGTTGTGGTAGAAGGAACTAGATATTGGTCACACCGAGGAGAAATGCCTGTTGAATGAGTAGCTCCAAAGTCCAAACTAATGCTCTGCAACACACAACAGATGGTATAGTGAACATCATAAACTTCAACCTAGTGAAGCAATGCATAACAAGGATAGGCTGGCATCCCAAGAAGAATACAAAACTAGCACCAACAGGTAAACAAGTCAAATAACAATTAAATAGCATAGAAGGTTAGGATACATATCATACAGTGCAAAAGCACAAGTGAGCACAGAATCCAGCGACAGCACATGCCATTGCACTGTGAGGAGCAGAATGATTTGGCAAAGATTTGTTGCTCTCATTGCAGAAAGAGTATATATAGTTGTTATGTCTTTCGGAGGTTCACAGAATACAAACCACTGCATTCCTCATGTAGCATCACTTGATTGGATGGCATTGATTAGACTCTCAGAAAGGACTCTATCAAGTGTAAAACCCTTCTCCATCATTTGGTCCCAAACCCTACAAGCAACAGAAAGCTTGTTTTCCTTTAATAAACCTGCAATGATCAACTTGAAAGTCACCTCATCAGGACAGAGTTTTTTCATCTGCATTTCATTATATAAATGCATGGCATCTGTTATTTTAGAGGCTTTACAGAGTCCGTTTATGAGGGCATTATATGAGATCACATCAGGACTTATTCCATTCTCCACCATATCACTGAAGACACTGCAAGCCATATCAATCTTCCCAGACTTGCAAAGGTAATCAACAATTGTTGTATAGAATATACGATCAGGAAGCAGATTCATACTTGTCATTTGATCAAGAAGTTCCTTGGCAATATCAGAGTTACCTTCTTCCAAAAAAGCTTTTATAAGGATTGTGAATGTCACCACATCAGGTTGAATTCCCTTCCCATTCATTTCCTCAAACAACTTGTAAGCCTTTCTGATCTGACGAGCCTTACAAAAAGCTCTAATAATGGTATTATATGAAACAACATCACACAGCCCTTTCCTTTCCATTGTCTTCACCATCATTACATAGGCCTTCTCCAGCTTATGAGCTTTGCAGAGACCCTTCAGCAATTCATTATAGCTATATACATCTAGTTCCATCCCACTTCTCTCCATCTTCTCCATCAACCTCACTGCCTCCTCCAGCATAAGCTCATTGCAACAATAATCCAACAATATGTTGTACGTAACCAAATCCGGCTCACACCCATTTCTCCTCATGAACGATTTGATAGTTAGTGCTTTATCAATCCTACCCATCCGACAGAATCCACTTATCAAAGCATTATAAATCAAATTATTAACATCAACTCCACCCTTAATAACACTTACTGTAAGTTCATATGCCAAATTAACCTTTCTACCACTATACAACCCAATAACAAGCGCCGTGCTAACCTTACAATCCGGGGATAACCCCTTTTCAATCATATTATCCCACATTTGTGTGGCTTCATCGAGGTGCTCGGATTTACATAATGCGTGAATAATTATGGTATATGATACAACATCAGGTTCTCTTCCTTTATCAGACATGCTAGAGAAGACCTGTAGAGCCATGTCTAACCTATTCTCATGACATAAAAGATTCAAATAAATGTTAAAAGCCCAAATGTCAGGGACACAACCCAGAGTATCCATATCTTGAAGAAGCTTCTCTATGAGACTAAAGTTCTTAACTTTACACAAACCAGAAATAAACCTCGAGTAAGTGAATGGCGTCAAAGAAAAACCTTGGAGATTCATCTTACAATAATAATATTCAGCCAAATCGAAGCGCGATTCGCGAACCAAAACACCGATGAAGCGATTGTAATCCAAGCTCAAGACGCGGCATTTTGATTGGGTCAGTTCGCTGAACACTTGAATGGCTTTGTCGATGAGTCCTGTTTTAACGTACTTGGAGATTTGAGAGCGGTATATGTGGCGGTGAGCGCCAAGACGTTGAAACATATCAGAGTGAACGCATAGCAGCGAACAAAGTAACTAAATACTCTTGTTCTGAATAATAATGAATTGAAACCCAGACGCTTTTCTTGATATCAAATGCGATACCATATATTCCCTCAGGTTTTTCTTCTTTTGTTTTCTCTCTTCTGATATTTTCCCTTTGCCTGGTTGGAGGCTAGAGGGAACACTGAAGAGAAAAGGAAGAAGCGCCTTGTTCAACCTTCGAGTTCAGCTACGAAAGTTTCTCCTTTTTTTTTGTTTTTTGTTCTCTGGACTTCATGGTTTATGAACTGGGCTGACTCTAAAAATCCTCACTTGATAAGCCCAAGTAATTTTGAGCCCGACGACCAAGCCCAATTTGCAGTTCAAAATGGCATCCTATTTTTTTGGACTGAAACGGCTTACAATTAAAATGGAGCAAAAGTAAACTTTTGATTCTATTAATTATAAAATCTCATTTATATTCAATAAATAAGATTTTATAACTAGAACCAGAAGTATTATTATTTTATATAACGTTTAGTTTGGTTTTTTAATTTGATAAAATATTAATATTTTTAAAAAATAATACCTGCATCAAATTTTTCATGTCAATTATGTCTAAATTCTCCAATCACATATGACTATTTGTCCTATTTTTAAAATATTAGCATTTAATATCATTTTAATTATAAATTTATATATAAAATAAGACACATGACCATATGTGATTGAAAAATTTAACATAATGAATATAAAGAATCTGACTTAAGCAGTTTTTTTTTAAAAAAAAATTCTTTAAGCTTAATATTTTTAGTTTCAAATGATAATTGTATATGTCAGTGCCTCATAAACTTAAAATGTTATAAATGTATTATCAGTTTAATTTAAAATTTCAATCTGAACATTTTGTTTTAAATTAAAAGATCAAAATAAAATTTATGCGAAGTTAAAAAGTCAAAGATACACTTTTACTTTAAAAGATTATTAAATCTCAACTCTCAACTACGTAAAGAGAGGCAGTCATGTTAAAAGAGTACGATCACCAAGGAAAAAAGAGTTCCTAAGACATAGTTTGATACGAAATATTAAAAATGAGATATTAAAATTGAAATTGAAAAAATAGTGTTCAGTATAATAAATTACTCATTACATAAAATTAGACAAACCTATATATATAGGATTGGGGATACCATGCAGGGAAATGATATTCCCTAATCCTATTTTTAGATTTGCTTAATCTCATATAACAAGTAATTACTTAAATTAAATACTTTTTTAATAATTTTTTTAATTACAATCCTAATTCTTATATCTTATTTCTAATATTTTGTAGCAAACCAGACCTAAAAGAATTGTGCCAACTTAACCATTAATTAAGTTGGTAAATCATTTTATAGCCTAGTAGTGTGAGAACTTTTTTATAAGTAAGAGGTTATGAGTTTGATTTCATTTATATTCAATAAATAAGATTTTATAACTAGAACCAGAAGTATTATTATTTTATATAACGTTTAGTTTGGTTTTTTAATTTGATAAAATATTATTATTTTTAAAAAATAATACTTACATCAAATTTTTCATGTCAATTATGTCTAAATTCTCCAATCACATATGATTATTTGTCCTATTTTTAAAATATTAACATTTAATATCATTTTAATTATAAATTTATATATAAAATAAGACACATGACTATATGTGATTGAAAAATTTAACATAATGAATATAAAGAATCTGACTTAAGCAGTTTTATTTTTTTAAAAAAAATTCTTTAAGCTTAATATTGTTAGTTTCAAATGATAATTTTATATGTCAGTGCCTCATAAACTTAAAATGTTGGCCTTTAATCGTTATAAATGTATTATCAGTTTAATTTAAAATTTCAATCTGAACATTTTGTTTTAAATTAAAAGATCAAAATAAAAATTTATGCGAAGTTCAAAAGTCAAAGATACACTTTTACTTTAGAAGATTATTAAATCTCAACTCCAGCTACGTAAAGTGAGGCAGTCATGTTAAAAGAGTACGATGACCAAGGAAAAAAGAGTACCTAATTGATACGAAATATTAAAAATGAGATATTAAAATTGAAATTGAGAAAGTAATGTTTAGCATGATAGATTACTCATTACATGAAATTAGACAAACCTATATACTCCTCCGGTCCTTAAGGTAGGACCCAATTGTTGAGTTGATTTTGGTTCTGAATATAAGAACCATTTCTCATATTTATCAATTTTCTCTAAATTACCCCTATAGATACTCCTTCAACCATAGTCAAGTAGAAGAGGGAGAGAAGGTATTAAGAAAGATGATTATGGTATTTTAGGAAAAACATGTCATATTTTTTATAATTAACTAACTTACCTAACTTCTTTAATCTAATCAAATTAGTTAAATGGGTCTTATATTAAGGACCAGAGGAGTATATATGATTGGGGAATACCATGTGGGGAAGTGGTATTCCCTAATCCTATTTTTATGGATTTGTTTAATCTCATATGACAAGTAATTACTGATATTAAATATTTTTTAATAATTTTTTTAATTACAATCCTAGTTCTTATCCATTATTTTTAATGTTTTGTAGCGAACCAGACCTAAAAGAATTGTGCCAACTTAACCATTAATTAAGTTGGTAAATCATTTTATAGCTTAGTAGTGTGAGAACTTTTTTATAAGTAAGAGGTTATGAGTTTGATTTCATTTATAAGTTATAACACTCAAATAATTAATATATGTCCCTTTAATTGAAAAAAAAAAAGAAGAATAAAAAAGAAAGCAAGTCTTGTAGAAATGGAGACCTAGTAACTAAATATCAAAAGATAATTTACCGACAGCATTAACGATTGCAGATACTTGCTCACTTCCTAAATATGTAGTTCTTTTAGCCTGATTTGGCACTAGGTATACAAAAACATTGAAAAATACCATCTAAAAATTTTAAAAATAAAATTTACATTTTACTATTAATTATTATTTTCATTATACGTTACTATATAATATCGTATCTGTCAATTAATACTATATAATACCGTATTTGTCAATTAATAATATTTTCTGAATGGTATGTGTGTGTTGTAAGAAATTTTGTCCATGGAGAAAAGGGCTGCATCGCATTTTTTTTTTACGTACAAAATATGGTTTCAAAAATTTCATTGGGTCAAGATTAATTTCTTCTCCTCGGATCGTTCTATTGAATTGATCCTTGACAATGGATTCAGTTTTTGAGCATTGATAAAATCAAAATATGAAAAATGAAGAAAGGTACCCCATTAAAAATTTAAAAAAAAATTGGTAAAAAAATATAAATTAGAGTATTGATATTTTATATCTATAAAACTTATAAAGTATTAATACTTTTTACGTATAAAAATTTATCAGATTCTTTTAACTAATAAAATTTTTAATAGGAGGCTCTTTATATTAAAATTTGTTGAATTTTATTTCTATATCCTGTGGCCTTAAAGATGCTGAGTCGGCTTTTTATTTAAACATACAAAGATATGCAGTTATTAAAGTATTATATAAATTAACATATGAATAATATTCATTTAATAAATTACTACGTTAATTTGCTGACAAATTACGAAATAAATTAATATATTATAAATTTGTAGATCATTTGAGATATTTATTTTTAAATTGTTAATTATTTAATTTACTTTTATTCTTTTTTACATATATTATAATGTATATTCAGGATTTAAAATTCAAATACTCCCGGTTCTTAATGTAAAATATATTTGACTAATTTGATTAGATTAAAAAAGTTAAGTAAATTAGTTAATTATAAGAAATATGACATATTTTTTCTAAAACACTATAATCATCTTTCTTAATATCCTTCCTCCCTCACTTGCTTGATTATGGTTGACGGAATATTCATAGAAGTAATTTAAGAAAAACCAATAAATATGAAAAATAGATCTTATATTTAAGACTAAAATTAATTTATCAATTAGTCCTATATTAAGGACAGGAGGAGTAGTTTGTTTGTAAGTTAACGTGTACGGGTATATCCATTAGGATGGGGGGAAAAGAAAATGGAAGATGGGAGGAGATTAACGTCTCTTTCTTTTTGAACCAAAGACAAAATGAAATATATATTAAAATGAAAATAAGCTTAAAGGTTACATATAATAAACAAATTAACAGAAAGGGAGTTAAAATTTACAAAACAATCTTTAAAATAATAATTTAACCCTAATAGAAGAAAAATCATGAATAAGGGTGAGAATTTCTTACCAAGTAATATTGAGGGGTCCCTCACCTTTTATTTGGACGGAAAGAAAAGTTGAGAGGAAAGAAAATAAGATGAGAGGAAATGGGTAGAAGAGAAAATTTGAGAGAAAATATTATCACTTCTCATATTTGGATGGACAAGAAAAAATAGAAAGGAAATAAAATAAGTAAATATATAAATAACTAAAATACCTTTTGTATTATATCAAAATATATCTTGATTAAAATCAAATTAAATATCATAATGAAAAACCATATTTACATTAACATAGTTATATAATTTAAAATCAAATTATTTGATAAAGATATATTATCATGTTATTATATTTTAATATAAAATGATTTTGTAAAAAAAGAAAAAAAACATTTTGTGTAATGTAATACTAAAAAAACCAAAACAACAACTGTACTTGTTTTTCCTTTCAGTTCATTTTAGAATGATTTTTTTAATTTTAGTTATTTTATTTTTCAATCAAGCAAACACAGAAGAAATATTTGATAATAATAAATAAAATGAAAAAATGAAGAAAAAATAAATAAGTATTATTTGCAGAAAAAACATATGTAAAGGTAGAGAGGAAAAATATGTTTTCTGCTTATTTTTTCTCCATATATAGAGAGAAAAGTTGAGAGAAAAATAGACTGTGAGACTCACCTCATTTTTTTTTCCTAACTTTTCTTTCCTCCCACTTTTCTTCCCTCATCCAAACAGGAAAAAAACCACTTCTCCCCTCATTTTCCTTCCTAGTTTTCTTTTCTTCCTCATTTTCTCTCCATTCAAACGTAGCATCAGAGTTTGAAGAAATTTGTATGGATCTATTTCCAACACAATAAATACCTAGTATAGAGTTGGTTCCAAAATTTAGTGGAGCATATAAATGGATTAGAATAGAAATGCTAGAGGCATTTAGGCTTGCTACTAAGACAGATGATGGCATGATAATAATGTTTACCAAACCTTTTAAACTCACACCAAAATATCCCCTCTTGCATAAATCTAGTTCATGTGGTTACTTGATACCATTTGGAAGAAAAGGAATAGGGAGGTCAAGAATGTCAATTCCTCTTCTACTTTTTGCTTTTGAAGATTACGTGAGAAGGGGAGCCTCCTATTTGGTGGGTAGGTAGCGGGCTAGCCCTGCCATTTTTTTCCTAAACTTTTTTTTGGGTGAAAAACAAACGTACAGTGCAGAACAAGTTCTTCACTAAACTAAGATTGTTTTCATGAAGAATGATTTTATCTGCGGTATTTTGGTAAATAATTTTGAAAATGCAACGTCTTTATAATTATTTTTTTTTACTGTATATAGGATTTGGCTCAAAAAGTCTGTTGAGTCATGCAAAGGCTTTTTCTTACGGCATGGGTGGGCAATAAGTGAAACAAATTGTTTCTCTTTTTGGTAGAACCTAATACACAACTTTGTAAAATCACTATTAAAATAAACATTACCTTTTGTCTTTAATATAAAAATTAGATAACTAATTTACAAATATTAATAAAAATAGTTAAATTAGTTATTTATAATAAATAAATGTTATTTTTAAAAAAATATTTTTATTAATCATGTGCACTTAAACTACCCATTGAAAGTAACTCTTTAAGACATACAATTACTAAAAGGATTACTTGAGAAAAATAAATAAATATCAGAGATAAATTAAATAAGAATCTTATATTTAGAACCAAATCTTATATTAAAAAAAAGTATTTTATTCATTATCCAACAAAATTGTTGGTCAAAGCAGTAAGCAATCTTTGTAAATAGAAGGATACAAGTGTTCCCCAAAAAAACACAATTTTTGAAAGAGCTTGAAGCCTCAACCTTAAATGCACCTGAGCCGATTTTTCTATATTATCCATAATTCAACTACTGAAGCCAATGATTAATGCATCTAAAGCATATTAATTGAACTCTAAAATTTGCCAGCCTATACAAGCAAATACAAGTGTCATAACTAAGGTGTCATCATTATGGTGCTAATTAAATATGGAACTCAATTACTCCTCTTTTGGCTCTATTTATAAGATCTCAAAATTTGAATTGGTTTGGTCCTTTTTATAATAAAATTCTATTAAGGATTGTCTGAATATTAAATGCATTTTTATCAATTTTGCTCCTAATTAATTTTCTATTTTCTCTTCTCATCTTTTTCTCGTATTTCCTTCTCATTCATCATTTATCTCATTAATAGTATTTTGGGAAAAGGACACTAAAATACCCTTAAAAATACTAAATAACAAATGAAGGTAGGTGAATTTTAAAATCCCAAATCAAATCCTAGGTACTATTTTGGAATTATAAAATCTTGTGAAACAACAATATTATCCTTACTCTCGGTGACTACTTTTATATAGTTATTGACTATTTTTGTTTTCAAAGTGCTGGTGAATACGTTTATATAGCTATTGACTACACAATAATAGTAAATAACTAAACAAAAAATAATCATTAGATCTCCAACAACACTTCATGTATTTTTAAAATTTTTGAAACAAAAGTAATCAATAGCAAAACTATACTAATCAATAGCTAAATAAGAGCAGTCACCAAAATTTTAAAAATGAAAGTAGTCAATAGCTACTAGATTAGTCAGTAATTAAACAAGAATAGTTATTAGAGTTTTAAAATCAAATGTAGTCAATAGTTAAAAAAAAGTAATCAATACATAAGAAAGAGTAGTCACCGGAGCTCCAGCGATCGGTCACCAGAGTTCCAGTGACATGTCGTCGGAGGTTCAGTGGCTGGCCATCGACAACGTTGTTGGCATCGGAGCTTTGATGGCATTTGTGTATTTTTATAAGATTTGAAAATTCTAAAATGGTACCTAGGGTTTAAATCAAGATTTTAAAATTTACCTACCCTTATTTGTCATTTAGTATTTTTGAAGGTATTTTATTGTCTTTTTTCCTAGTATTTTTCTCTCTTATTTGCTTCTTCATTAAATAAAGATATACTTAAAAAAAGATTTAATTTTTACATATTTATTATTTTTAATTAATTTTAAATTTTTTTTAAGCTGAGTAATTTGGTTAATAGGATTTTATAAAAAGGACTCAAGGGAGTAATAATTAAACACAATGATAGTATTGTAAATCTCACCATGATTTTACAATTATTTTTACTTACTTAGAAGCAAAGATTATGTTCTAAAATCATGTAAAAGCTTATGTTAGCTTTATAAGGTTCTCAAATGAAGGGGTGTGGACCTAAAATCTGATATCGTAATTGCTTCCCTCAATTTTTTCTCGTCGCTAGCTTAAACTAAAAGGCTATTTTTCTCACTCTCTCATTCCTTATTTTGTTTTGGGTTCTTGTATACAGCTATTAGAGTGTAGAAATAAAGTACATATTGTTCTAGATATTATAAGAATAGACTATAAACTAGGTTTTATAATGTGGACTGGAGGTAGTATTACTTTTTTTTAATTATTAAATTAATACTATTTGCTTAATGTTTAATTTATCAATTTTTACTCCCCAAACATAGGGTCTTGGGCTGTATCTAATGTGATTTAAAATCAGTATTTATTTCTATCATTTTTGTCAAGTATTAAATTGTGTTAACCAAGAAATAGGGAATCATTAGCCGACACCTAGAAGGTGTTATGGCAGAAACAAATCTAGATTTTCTTGGCTGATTAAAACAAAAATTAGGTTTCCACTTTCCACTATAAAATGGGATCCGTACAAGATTCATTAGTAATAAATTGAACCCATAGCCTAACCAATGACTATCTTATGGTTCAAAAGTCCTACTTTTAAACATTTCTATTACTTAGCATTATCTATTTCTATGCCAGCATTTAGTAACATCTCGATTAATCTGACCAAAAACAGGATCGTTTGGTGAATATATCTATTTTTATGTAAACATTATTGGACTCATTTTTCTCAAAACTTTATTAGAATATATTTGCACGTTTTATATACTGAAAAAAGTCATAAATTATCTCCATAGAAATTGCATTTATTTCAGTATATTAACTTGTGTGTGTAATAGTATAAAGTTTCTAACTTTGTACCTTCCGAACATGTTTGATTTCTCATAAATCTCCTGTCTTTTTGGGTAAAGCGCCCGGCATTTCATGAATTAATTCAACAAAGCTCTGAAGTTCAACCCTTTCTTTCAAAGCTGTAAAATTTTCGTTCTTTTTCTTTCTCCACTCCCTAATACGTTTCCATTTGGTAAATTACAGTCAGACGGAGTGAAGTAGGTAGCGACGTGTGATAAGCAGGTTGCGACGGGGACGATATGCGACCTATCTGAAGAAAGCAGCTATTGTACAGGAAAAAGACAAGGAACGGTATAATGTTATGCAACCGAGAACAGATTATTTTATGGTATTTCGCTTTTTCGCTGGAAGTTAGTTCTATTACTACTTAGCACCTTCCGCTCTGTTGGTTTGTGGAACAGTCGCACCAGCAACCATGAAGTGTATCTCCGTGATCTCAATCTGTTTCCTTCTTCTTTTGGGTACTCAGAGGTATGTCAATTGCCACCATCATCTTCTTCTTTTGCTGTTACATTAGCCTAATTAGTAATCTCAGAGTTTGATAGCTCCATGGTCCGAAAATCTGCGTATTGACGAACATTTTGGCTTATGTTTTGTGAATAACCAAACTTAGAGCAAGACAACTTTCTTGAATTATGCAGCTTAAAGCATAGCTGGATTGCTGTTTCCGCCGAAACCTATCACATCTCAATTGTTTTACATCTTGTTTATCTTGTCTGTGTCAGCTTGGATGTATAATTTCTCATTACTGAAAGATAATGTGCTCAAAATTTACGGGAAAGATATTTTACCTTGCGATCCAAAATCTGTTGTAGTTATGAACCCAGGTTATGTCAAGAGCCAAAAACAAAAGGATTTGAAAGACGATGCAGGGAATGGCTTTTAAAAGCTGATGTTTTGAGCTGATCTGTTTGGCCCCTGCACGTCAAAAAAGGATTTGAAGTGTTTTTCGAAAGCCGATGCAGGGAATAACTTTTAAAAGCTGATGTTTTGAGCTGATCTGTTTGATGCCTGCATGTCAAAAAATGTTTATAGTAGCCGCTTTGAAAATGCATTATTTTAATCGTGTGTCTGTAGCAAACTTTAAAGGCAGTAGCTGGAGAATGAGGACAGTTTTAGCATTTTGAGCTATGGTAGTTTGGACTATTCTTTTAGTGTACAACCTATACTCTTTTTGCTATCAGCCATGAGTAACAGACTTTGTTCTGTCTTGAGTTGTGAGGACTTAGACTAGCAAGTGCAAATGCTTGAACATCATTTTCTATTATTCTCCTCTTAAGCATCTGGTTGGACTTCCCAAGTTCCTTTAGTCAGATTTAAAGTTAATGGAGAAGACATTGTTTTAGAATAATTGATAGTTCATTTCAGTGTGACATCTAAAAATATATCTGAGAATGAGAGAGGCCTACGGCAAGCAAGTGTCCCACCAAGAGGTTGGAATTCCTATGATTCCTTTTGCTGGACAATTTCTGAAGCAGAATTTTTACAGAGTGCAGAAGTCATCTCTCAGCGCCTCCATGCCCATGGATATGAGGTATAAATCCCGTGGGCCACTATATGGCTGAATTTAATTATTAACAGTACTCTTGGTTGAATATTGATATGATTTCTTTCATGCAAAAACCTGCAGTATGCTGTGGTGGATTATCTTTGGTATAGAAGGAAAGTAGAGGGTGCCTATACCGATTCACTTGGATTTGATGTGATTGATGAATGGGGAAGGATGATTCCTGATCCACAAAGGTGGCCTTCTTCTAAAAATGGGAAAGGGTTCAAAGAAGTGGCGGATAAAGTTCATAGCATGGGTTTGAAGTTTGGGATTCATGTTATGAGAGGGATAAGTACTCAAGCAGTCAATGCAAACACCCCTATCCTTGATCCAAGGAAGGTATTGCTCCATATTCCTAATTTTATACTAAGATATGATACATTGTTTCTTGTTGTCTTTAATGATCGTACTAATCAATGGGCCACTTATGTAACATATTATCTTTAATGATAGTACTAGTCAATGGGCCACTTGTGCTTCACAATCCTGATTTTGCGTAAGGACTGTTTTTCTTTCTTTTTCTGATTCTTGTTCCTCAAACAAGAAAATGATCTGATGTTGAACTTGGTTTACTCAGATCTTAAGTGTGTGTGTGTTTGTTTTTGGTTGAGCTTTCAATTCATCCTTTCCTAATTTGCTAGGGAGTTCCATATACAGAATCCGGTAAAGTGTGGCATGCAAAAGACATAGCAATCCCAGAAAGGGCTTGTGCATGGATGCCTCATGGTTTCATGAGTGTAAATACGAAACTCGGAGCTGGAAGAGCATTTTTGAGGTCCCTCTATGAGCAGTATGCAGCTTGGGGTGTTGATTATGGTATGCATTTTACGTTTATATGTCATGCTTTATCAGAGTATCTATCATCACAAAATTTATGATGGATTTTAGACGTTGCTTTCAAGATGTCATCCTCACCTGATTGAACTATTTTTAATGTCTGTTTCGTCAAGGTATTTTTGTGCTTGTGAGAGACAGACAGACAGACAGACACACACACACACACACACACACACACACACACAGAGGATTGGTATATTAAAGTTTCCTCTAACTTTGGGTGAAGTTATAATATTATCTGAAACTTTTAGCTCAAAACACCACAAGACTTGTTTAGTTTTCCTCCTTTCTTGGGCCACGGTTAAAATTCAGTGACGAAAGATTCCTTTTTCCTTTTTCTTTCAAGCATTCCAGACATCTAGAAATGACTAACATCTACAAAGCATAGATCGGTAATTAGTTTGTGTCAATTTAAGCATTACGGATGGGAAAAGAAAGATAGAAAGTCGTCAAAGAGATCTTAAGCCGTACTGCTTGTAAATCTTCTGCAACTTTGATACACATGGATTTTTTCCTTTCAGTGAAACACGATTGTGTGTTTGGCGACGACTTAGATTTGAATGAAATAACATACGTTTCAGAGGTATGATGCAGCTTTCCAACTCCGCCTTGTCTTTTCAGTTACACTCACATCATGCTGGATTCTTTTATCTTTACACCCCCTCTCCCAGAAAAAAAAAAAAAATCCAAGAAGGGAATAATATATGGTAGGTCAGAAGTATTTTGGCTTACTTACATTTGGATATGCCATGCTCAGATTCTCAGGGCACTTGATCGCCCCATTGTATACTCTCTGTCCCCTGGAACCAGTGTGACACCAGCGATGGCGAAGGATGTCAGTGGACTAGTTAACTTGTATCGCATAACAGGAGATGACTGGGATACATGGGGTGATGTGGCGGCTCATTTTGATGGGACAAGGTGAATAAACATTGTTTTGAGGTTGATATTGACAACTCAGCCTTCAGAGTACTTAGCAATTGCTCTCTTATCTGTTTTGAGTTACTTTTGTCTTTATATTTATATAACTTCATTTTATTATGAATCAGGGATTTTTCTACTGCTGGTATGATAGGAGCGAGGGGTTTGAAGGGATATTCATGGCCTGATTTAGATATGCTACCATTGGGATGGCTAACTGATCCAGGTGATTTAGATATGCTACCTTGATGCTACTTTTTCTTATACATATTGAATCTCACGTCCTTCATACTTTATTGGGTTGGTGATAATGGTGAGTGAACTGAATCTGCTGGCTGCATGAAGCTTCTCTGCCAACTGCAGATATCTATTATATTAAAGTTTAAAATGAGGACACAGCCAATGCACGAAATCTGTTGGAAAGCATTTGAAAATTTAGAAAAATGTCATTCATGTATCTCATATGGTAGAAAACTAATATGGGCTTTTATAATTTTAAGATTTTGGAAACATGGATTATGAATCTACATTTTCTGTCTTTATAGGTTCAAATGTAGGTCCACACAGGTATAGTCGTCTTAATCTAGAGGAGCAAAAAACTCAGGTATGCGTGAAGCTCTATTGGCTTGCTCTCCAACTTACACGTGTACCTCTCTTTATGTGTGCGTATACATTATTAACGTATTCATTACAGATGACGTTGTGGGCTATGGCAAAGTCTCCTCTCATGTATGGAGGGGATGTGCGGAAGCTTGATCAAACGACATACAATCTCATCACAAATCCTACTCTTCTGGAGATTAATTCCTTTAGTTCAAATAATATGGAGGCATGTGAATTTTTTTTTTTTTGGGAGTGGGGCAGGATAGAGGCTGCGGGAATAGTGGGTTTGTCAGATTAGTGTCTTATCAATATTGCTTCTTTGACAGTTTCCATATATCACAAGCTTGATGGATATGAAGATTCGGGGACAGAGTTTTGCAGAGCAAATGTCAGGATCTAAGAGAAGCAGGCAAAAATCATATACACATTTAATTGGTCTCACTGGCTGTGCTGAGTCAAAGGCAGTTGGGTGGTCAATTGAAAGCCTTAAAGAAGATGTTGAAAGAATCTGTTGGACAAGGAGCTCAGGAAACAAGCATCAGGCCGCTTTCTGTGTGCACAAGAGAGAAATTCGTGTGGCATTGTAAACTCATTTTATCTTTATCTGTTCTAAATATCTAGGTTTTTTCCCTTTAAAGATAATTTCTGCAGATGTTAACAGCAGACATTGTCGTATTGGCGTTGATGCAGAGAAGAGAGTACGAATCAAGAAGAATACAGAAGAAAACATCATTTAGTTGCAGCCAAGACAAAGCAACTTTGTCTTGAAGCTTCTCCAAAAAGAAAGCTTACTTCTAAAGAATTTAAGAGAGGCTCATTTTCTCCTTGCAGATGGGATGCAAATCAGGTATGTTGTAGTCCATATTTCATTGACAAGAGGGACATGTGGCTCTTATAAACTTTAGAACCAGCTTGGCCTGTATAAAATTTTTTGACACTTCTTTTAGCAGTTGGCGAGTGTGTAGTCTTGCGATGCAATAACATATTTGTCTACCCATATTACCCCTAACTAGAGAGCATATGTCCTGCTGATGACTTTTTTTTTTTTTCCCCTTTTCCAATTAAGCACAGATTTTTCATTTTGTCCATTTTATTTCTAATCCATTGGAAGCTGACCTTTCCTGTCTTAACAGATGTGGGAATTGAACCCTAATGGGACCCTGGTAAATAGTTATTCCAGCCTGTGTGCGACAGTAGATCCTGCCAAAGGTGATTGTACTTATTTACCTCTTTCTGTAATAACTAGAAATTTTTTTAGAAGTTGTCTAGGTATGTCCTTTTGTCTGTTTTTCTAATGCAAGTTGGCCTTTAATGCAGCTAAAACTCATTCTATTAATGGGATTCGCTCCTGGATTGCAAAAGGAAGACGAGGTCTGATTCTGCAAGAAAAACTTACATTTGTAAATTTTCTTCAGCTGCCCTCGCCCTAACAGCTCCAAACAATAGGGTAGAAAATTACTCATCATGAAACAATAACCGCAAATCCTATTTGCATGTTCACATCCAATCTGTTTTCTCTCTCACGCCTGAAAACCAAAGTCCCAATTCCCTCAGTCAATGGACAAGGGGAGGGAGGACCAACAGGGGCATGACCCTCCCAAGTTTTTAATTTTTTTTTTTCTTTAGCACTATCTCTAATCCTTAATATAAGAGCTAAATAACTAATTTGCATATATTAAGAAAATTAGTCAAGTTAATTATTTGTAACAAATATGTGTTAGTTTTCCTAAGATACTTTTTTTAATCTTGTGCATTGGAATTATCCTAAAATGGAAACCCCCTTAATATGTACATTCAATACGGATATTTTGGGTAAACAATTATAAATTTGGAAGGTAGATTGAGGTCTTATATTTAAAACTAAAGTAAACCCCTTATCTAGTTTCTATATTTAGGACCAAAGTAAACAATTACACTTTGGGGCAGTGCTTGCTGTTGTTATTTGGAAGTTTCTATATTGCTCACTCTTTCCGTTACATCTCTATATATAGGAGAAGTCTATGTTGCTTTTTTCAACCTGAATGAACAGAAGACAGTGATATCTGCAAAGACATCAGACCTGGCCAAGGTAATACCTGGCAACTATAACGCATGTGAGTGCAGGGAAGTGTGGAGTGGAAAGGACTTCGACGCAAGACATGGGACACTCTCAGCAGAAGTGGAAAAGCGTGGGTGTGCACTGCTTGTCCTTAATTGCCACTAAGCTGCGGTAAAGCTGTAGCTTTGCACTGTTGTTGAGGTTTGTCCCCCCCCCCCCCCCAAAAAAAAAAAATCCATTTCTATCTCATTCCCGCATATCTTGGAGCTGTATGCAAATGCAGTGTAGTTAGTAACTGGAGGATGTGCTTCTTGTCAGACATTATTTAAGCAATCATAATTGTGTTAATCTCTTTGTTCCATTTTGTCTTGGCCCAATTTTTCAAGGGAAAATTGGGAAAAAGTCCCCCATTAAAAATTTTATTGGTGAGAAGGACTAAAATCAGATTACTAATACTCTGAATGGGATTGTTCGCTAAATGGTCAACGTTAGTTGACTTAAAGGCAGTGATATTTTTGCTCCAGTTATAGGAGTTTATGTGTACATTTGCACCAAAGAAAATATTATGATGCATGGTCCTTAATGAGATAATCAGTTATGGATAGTTTTGCGCCTTATCCATAAAAATAAACATTTATTTAGTGATTTTAGATCAAAAGGTATAAAAACAACATATAGAATTTATATCTTTGATAAATGACTTCTATTTATAACCAAAATAGATAAATTTAATGCATAATTATACTTTTGTTATCGGTCTTTTTTTTTTTCTTTTTAATATATAAATATAGAAGATCAAATATTGACATTAGACTTAATCAGTACAATTAATCTAATTATTAATTAATATGGTCTTCATGCCAAAATTCAGTCTCAACTCTCGCAGATAAAAGCATCTAAAAATAAGATACCGAATTTAGCTTTTCATGCAGAAGCTCAAACCCTCTATAATGGTTGATGATTTAAGGTTTTTGTTTAAGTGAGAACAGTTTCTTTCTTTAATTTTTGCCAATAGAGTTTGTAATTTGGTAGCAGATTTGCTTGCCAAAGCAGGCTGCAAATGGATGTGCCTTTTAGGTTGGGATTTGAATCTCCCCAACCCTTTTTTTTTTTTTTTCATACAAACATTTTAAGTAAGGGTTCGGGTTCAACCTAAACTAAAAGCAGGGCGTTTAGATAACTCCTTCTAAGTGGTATTAATGTTGGGTTTTTTTTTTTTTTAAACTTTTGATTTCTATGGATTCTCAACTTTGTGAACAAGGCATTGATTAACCTTACTCATTTTGATGAGTAATATACATGATTTTCGATCCAAAAAAAGATACCAAATTCATTCAAAGATAAAAATAGTTAATAATAATAAGTTAAATAATTTTTGTTACACTGATTTGAGAAATTACACATTGATTTCAAAGGAAGAAAGTGAAATTGAATAGACATAATGAATATTTTTGTCTTAGGAATATTATATCCTTTGGTTTTTTTTTATCATTAAAGTATAATTTCACTAGAATGGCACCAAATACCAAAGTAAATGCCAGCATGGTATGATGTGTTAAGGGCAGGAGACGGCCGCCTGAATGACTTTGTTTAATCACCACTTGAAAAAGACGCCTTTGCTTCTTTTTTTTTTTAAATAAAAAGACCACGTGAACATGCTTTTATTTTTTTGGGGTCAAAATGACGTGAACATGCTTTTACCAACAACAAAGACAGATTGTACCTGGCCTCCTTCTACTTCACCTAAGGTCTTAGTTTAGTTTTTCAATTTTATAAACTGTTTTTTCAGTTTTCGAATCCTAGTTTTGTTAGTGAAGAAATTACCGATACTAAAATTTTAAACATTGATTAAAAAATTCATAAATACTAATATATTAAATTGAATTTTTTAATATGATATTGATGGGCTTAAAAAAATCGTTATTTGAAATCAACAAGAGTTAGAGAATTTAAAAAAATTACTTTATAAAATTGTGTAAAGTTGAAGAACAAGGTACATTTTTGCCAAAAGAAAAATGAAAGGACGCTCTTCGCAAAAGCTTGTAGCCGCTTGAGAATATACTATACTAGTAATGAAACCAATAAATATTCATATAAAATATAAATTTACAACGAATGACTCTCGTTAGATTTTTTTTTGGCAAGGATCAGAATTTGTTGGTTGGATAGAAAGAAAATTAGAGAGCAAATTTTGAAAATAATAAATTTTATTATTTTTAGAAGTTCTTTTGATTGTATTTTTTTAATTAATTTTTTTCCTCCTCACCCAATACTACGAATTTTATTGTTTGGAATCACAATTGAATATCTCAAAATCACTTATTCAAAATATAACTCCATTCACATATTTATCTCGTATTTTATAAATCATAATTAAAAAATTATTTTTAAAAAATCCTACCACTTTCAAACAACCATAAAAGAAGCTAGGAGCCTAAAAGAGGCCATATATAGTCTCAAGTTGTACAGTTAAAATTGGGCGAAGATAAGGTGAGAAGGTGTTGGTGATGCAAAATAAGGGTATGCGTCTCCAAATATACATTGAAAAAAAATGCCAAAAAAGAAAAAACAATCTACGAATTATTATGAAATAAATAAACAAAAAAAATGGATTAGAGAAGAGATTAAGACAAAAAAAAAGGTGAGATAAGTATGCTGTATTTCTTCACTTGTATCATAACACAATGAAATATCCTATTTATAGTTATAATCTTACACATAAGTTACACTATACTTAAATAATACTACCTCCGGTTCTTAATAAAAGATTTTATTTGACTTTTATTTTGATCCTAAATGTAAGATCCTAATCTACTTTGTCTATCATATTTATGTATTTTTTCTCAAGATAGTCATTCTAACAATAGTAGTTCTAGCCAATATACTTGATTAGCAAAGATATTTTTGGAAAGACAACACATATTTATTACAAATAATTAACTCAACTTATTTCCTTAATCTCCTCAAATTAGTCAATTAAGTCTTATAATTAGGATCGGATGTGATACATATTGAATAATAAATCACATGAATGTGAGTGAAGATGAGTTACAAGATTAAAGGCATAATGAAAAAATAATGTCTAATAAAAAATAGTCAGGGTTTGATAAAGTTAAAAAAAAAAGCCAAAAAAAAAATCCATACTTATAATATTCATAACATAAACCTCTCTCTTAATCTTTCACATTTTTTCTCTCTCTCCTTGCGAGTTCTTCAGGGACGTCAAGAGTAAAACATCGTCTCCATTCCATGCACCTTTTCCATCATAATTATTAGTAACCACTTTATATATCTTGTCTTTTGTGGCGGCTTTGTTTTTCACTTTTTCCTAAATCATAAAATTGTGAGAGAATAATTAAAATTATGCCTTGACAAAAAAAAAAAACAGTTTTGGACAACAACTTTTTTCTGCAAAATTACTTAAAAATAAGACTTCAGAGTTCAAACTATTACAAATTCTTGAATATGAATTGTAAGTCAAGAGTTAAGAGATTATATCTCAACAATAATTTATACTCTCTGATCCTTAATATAAGATCATATTTAACTTTTATTTTGATCCTAAATATAAGACCCCAATCCACTTTATCTCTTATATTTATACATTTTTTTTCCAAAGTAGCTCTTCTAACAATGATAGTTCTAATCAATACACTTGATTAGCAAGGATATTTTAGGAAAGACAACACATATTTAGAACAAATAACTAACTCAACTTACTTCCTAAATCTCCTCAAATTAGTCAACTGGCTTTTATAATTAGGACCGGAGGTAGTAATATTTATTATCTAATCATATTAACTAAAACATATCTATAATTCTAGTATCAATATAAAATATTAATATTAACATACCTCCTCTGTTTCTTACGCAGGATTTAGATGAAGTTGGATTTAGCCTTAAAACACTACCTCGTTGTGAAAATAATATTGAACTACATGTTATATTTTATATTTAGAGCCATTAGTATTATAAGATTTGTTGGTAAAAAAATCCACTTTATTTTAATATTTATGATATTTTTAAAGTGTTTATGTTAATTGCATATATTAAGAGAAATACTTTTAATTAGTAGTTTCAATGTAAATTATTACAGATTGACAGAAAATATTTTAGAAAAATTAGCACATATTTTGTATAAATAATCAACTTAATAAAAAAATTTAATTTTATAAATTAATTATCTAATTTTTATATTACAAATGAGATGGAGATCATTTATGCTCTCAATATTAGATTTTGTTTTCAGAATTAATGGAATAGGGGTAAAAAAAGAAGAAAAGAAAACAGTGCGTCGTAATGTAAGCAATTACGTAACAGGCGGCTGGTGGGGCCACCGGAAGCAATGACATAAGATTTTGAAATTTTAAAATTCTCCTCCTCTCTTCCTTGTATCTTCCGTCTCTGACTATAAAAGCCACAGCCATCGCACAATTTAATTTCCACACTTCATGGATCTCTTCCTCGCTCCATCTTCATTGTTTTCTTCTTCACTTCCCTGAAGTCGATCGATTTTACACTCAATATGGTAAACATGGCCTCTGCCACTCCGTCTTCATTCTCCTGTCTTGCTTCTTCACATTCCTCTTCCTTCGCAAAATTCTCAAAACATAATCCCTTGACTCCTAAACACGTCAAATTCAAACTCAGGATCAACAACAATGAAGGAAATTGCTTCCTTCATAGATCGCATTCTGAGTTTAATTCCATTCCTCAAATCCCTAGATTTTCCGATTCCGCCGCCTCACCCTCAGATGTCGTTGTTGCTGATAAGCTCAATCTGCTCGCTTCGGAGTTTAGGTCTCTCTCGGAGCCAATTGATCGGGTGAAAAGGCTATTGCATTTCGCGGCTCTTCTGCCTCCGCTGGAGGAATCGGCTCGCGTTCCGGAGAACAAAGTAAGGGGGTGCACGACTCAGGTGTGGTTGATCGCGGAGATGGACGAGTGTGGGAGGATGAGATTCAGAGCCGATAGTGATTCTGAGATATCGAAGGGTTTCTGTTGGTGCTTGATTTGGATGTTGGACGGCGCCGAGCCGGAGGAGGTGTTGACGGTGGAGGCGGAGGATTTGGCTGAGATGAACGCGGGCTTGCAAGTGAAGGCCCAGTCCAGAGTGAACACTTGGCATAATATTTTGTGCAGCATGAAGAAGGCCACCAAAGCCTTAGTCGTGACACATGGAAGGAAAACAGCTCGTGAAGGCTTGTCCTTCTGTAATTGTCACTGTTCAATATGATGCTTAATCACTCAAAAGCAAATAATCTGAAGATCTTATTACTCCTTCGTCTTGCAAATCATTAGCTTGATGACTACAAAGAAAATTGATACGCGTTGTACAGTGAAGTCTAAGATTTTATCCGCAGAAATTAGATTTTAAGATCAGGTTCAAGCAAAGTTCTTTGATACCTATTATGAAGTTGAAGACAACAGAAAAACTGTAAGAACTAAATAGTTATGCAATGCAGTTGTGCTGCCTTAATTTTTCAGATATTACAAGTTGTCTTACATTTGACTCTGGTGAGTTGGTCTTCATCTTGCAACTAGATTAACTATCAGTACTGTGAAGTCTCTTTGTATCGTTCCAATTTCATCGGATGTCTCGACCGGACAGTACTGTGAAGTCTTAGACAGCTACTATAAAGTTAAAAATAGTATGATATGTAAAACTTAATGACATAGAAAAACTGTACCATTGGATCAGTAATACAATCCTAGTGTTGCCTATTATGTTAAAAATTTGTCGTAGTACATTTACCTCTGGTGTATTGGTTATGAACAGGGTTTGGCTGTGAAGACACATACTGATATATGATGCCAAAATCTTGTGGCCTTTAGTCCTGAGTCTATGAAAATTAAAGCTCAATTGTTTTAGCAAATATCCATGTTGGTTCAGTGCCTGCATGATTGTTAGCAAGATTTGAGCTTTATGACACTTCTAGAATGAATATTTGGAATGACATCATTGATAATAGCTCTTTAATATTAATAATTGCATATGTCGTCTAGCTAGGGTTTATTTATTTATTTCTTTTTGAGACTTTCTTGACGCCATTAGTGCATAATTGGGCTCCACTCTGACGCAGGTATAGTATATATGATATAATCCTGATCAAGGAAAAGGAAGTTGTTATTGACTGTGTGATTATATACTATATTGTGGACAGAATTGAATTCTTCAAGTGATATATAATTAAAAACGGGGGAAATTTTGAGGGTGAAATACATAATGGTGCGGCTGTTGATACCTGGAGATCTATTAGTGCAAGCATATCTGCAAAGTTAATTGCTCAAGGCTCTTGCATCAATCATGGCCATCAAATTCCCCACCAGTACAGTAGATTTGTCTAAGGCTATGGTTGGAGTCGTGATTGAGGATTGTAATGCTGTGTTTGATACGGTTCTGACATTTTTTTAAGAGAGGGAGGAGAATTGCTCCCTAGAACATTTTTTAAAAAGGGGAAGGTCTCTCCTTTCTCCTTCCTAGCTTCTCCTCTGAAAGTGGCGTTGTTTTAAAGGAGAGATGAGAAAGAAAATATCTTTATCTTTATGTCTAGGTTGTTCTCATGCATCTCTTTGTTGATTTCTTATGCTTTTCAACTAATTTTTAGTTATTTATTTTTAATGCTATATTAAATGAAAATAATCTTCAACATAATTTTTTATAATATTTTTAATTTTTAATATTATTTTAAATTTTATATTTACATAAATTGTACAGAGTGTATCATCCAATTAATCATGTAATATTATGTGGTTTAAAAGTTTCACATTACCATGATTTATAATTTAAAATCAAACATAGTTTTTCTGTTTAGGCTGCATTTTGGGCTACCTCTGTTTTGGGCTTCTAAAATCGGTTTACATACCCAAAAACATGTACCCAAACCAAATCAATTTGTCCTGAAGCCCTGAAGTGTGTGTTAAATAAGGCATAGAAAATCAAAGCAACCATTAAATTAGTCAAAATAGTGGTTTGTGGCCTAACTGGAGTTAAATCAAGATTAATCTAATCATTAAAATAATATAATGTAATTAAAAAATATAAAAATATTTACATATAATATAGAAAAGAATAATATTTAAATAAAAAATATTAATTCACGGATACATGAAACATTCATGTGTGTACCGCATACAATCAAATAGAACAAGGTTATTATAATATAAATATGATGTACTCCCTCCGGTTCTAAATATAAGACTCATTTCATAGCATAAATTACACTAAAAAAATGAGATTTTATATTATAAAATGGGTTTTAAATTTGGGACTGGAAGAGTAATAGTTTTTAACTCAAATGATATTGTTTTAAGGTCAACAAAAGAAGAAAAAATATACATATAATCTAACTTTATCGATTTGTCCAAAACCCTACCAAATTGATCAGAAGATTGGTATACTGATTCACTGATCTGACTGATTAACAAAATTTAAGTTTTAATAGCACGATGCTAAATGTTCCAAACATATATTATGCTGTTCCTTAATATATCAACTAGATAACTAATTCGTGAATATTAAAAAAAAATTAGTGAAGTTATTTATTTGTAATAAATAAATATTATTTTTTGCTAAAATACCTTTATTAATCATATATATTAAAATAGAGACATTTTAACATGTATAATTACCAAGGGTACTGCTTTTAAAAAAGTAATCAATATGATAAATAAAATGAATTGAGATTTTATATTTAGAACTTAAATAAATTTCTAACTAGTTCTTATATTTAGGATATATTTAAGGTGGTATATATCATTTGCAAATTGTGGGTGCCTGCACTACATATTGTTTATGGGGGACGGATGGATATGATTTTTCATGAATATATGCGCCCAATATATGAAAATGAAAAGCTTTGCTTATGGGCTGGTCTAAGTCCTAGCATGCCTTTTTGCCTTTATTCTGTATATTGCACTCTGATGTCAAACAAAAGTTGTGACCACTTGTCTAGTTAATCCCATGTTTATGCGTGTGGATTGATATTAATGCATATTCAAATTAATTATCAAACTACAATTATTCATATTAAGTAATTGTTTTGTTTTATATTGTACTTCATTAGATGAACTGAGTCATCTATATCTATATAAAAATATAAAGAGTTTGCAAGCAAAAATACAATTTAAGGCTTCCCTAACTATTTGATTTCATTTAGGTAACTTGTTTATTGTTTTGTTTATCGATTGTTGGCTTTGTTAAATTGAGAGATATTAAATTGAATTTTGTTTTCGTCAAAATCTTTGAAATGAGATTATTAATTATTCAAACAAGCGTGAACAAATATTAAGCTCCAATTTTAATAAACTCTATTACCAATTGGAGTTGGATTTAATAGAAAAGGTTAGCTTCTCACAACGTGGTAAATTAAAATTTGAATCTCTGTTAGAAGATATGCTTATATTTAATACTTAATAGTGTTTTAAATAAGATTATCTCTACTAAAGAATGCCTATGTTTAGCCCAAAAAAAAAAAACCTCCATTAAAAGGTCTATTGGAAAACTCCATGAGAAAAACATCAGATTCGAAATGTGTGTATCTTGTAAAAAGATGCATTTTACATAAATTTTGAAAAAAAATCAAAATATAATATGAAAATTAAAATAAAAAAATCTATGCAATACAGGAAACTATTGATGTTTATTGTTTTTAACTAATTTTAACTATTATTCATAAATGAATTATTTAAAACTTCTATATAAGTGTGTTGTTTTTGCAATCCAATTTAAAGTCCTCTGCCAGCATGCGTGATTTTAATCATTCACTCCTCTCTTTCAGAAAAGTGGATATAATTAAATCACCATTCACCAACAATTCCCAAACATTAATATTATTAAAGTTATTTTAATCATGTTCTTATTTATAGTTTTTATTCTTACAAATTTTTTACTTCACTAAATATATGAATAAATAATACTCATTTATTACAGATAACTAACTTTATATTTTTTTAATATTTATAAATTAACTGTTTAATTTTCATATTAAAGACCGGATATAAGAATTTTTGTTTGTTATTACTTATAAAGATATGAGGTTTTAAGACTAATATATCATTTTATAAAGATCAAATTATACAAATTTCCTCTCACATTTCAAATTTTAAATTTAACCACCTAATCCTTTTTCTTTTAAATTATTATCAACCCCTTTTTATTAAATTACAGTTATCTTTTTCATAAAAATTGATAAGTCAGGTCAACAAAAGATGCCTGACATCATGTATAAGTTAATAATCTTGTTTTTTTTATAAAAGCTCATGAATTTTAGACTGTTTTGCATATAATCCTGCTGAAATTTCAATATTTACATTTAGAGGGTGTTTGGAACACCTCATAATCATTTTTCATAAACATTTTTCTATAAATCAAGATAAACTCCTATACATATTTACTTCTTATATCGTAAAAACACTTTTAAAACCATAGTTTTGTTCTTACCCAAGTACTCTTTTAATGTCCTAGAATTTAAGAGGTTTCAGGCAACCGGTTAAAATTAAGGAGATTTTGTAAAATTATTAACCAACACAAAATGCCATGTGTCTTCTATTGATTTGATGTGATAGTTTTTGTCAAATAAATAATAATCACTTAACAGTATTTCAACAAAGGGTTCATGATAAATATTAGAAAGTTAAATGTAAACTTTAAAATATCAAGGAAATTATATGCAAGTAATCTAAAATTCAAAATGTTATTTGTATCATTTAACTTTTTATAAATTTATAGACTTAACTCTCGTCATTTTTCTGTGGGTTAAGTGACCGAAAATTTTTTTAGTATGAATTTATTTTAAAAATTTAAAACTGTAGTAATAATATTTTTAACCGTTAAAAATATTAACAGTCTAAATATTTCTAAATGAAAATTTTGAAGCCAGATTTGTATCTTGACTCCTTTTGTATTAAAAAAAAAGTTAAAAAACCCATATTTCACTTTTTCTTACTTTTTTTATTACACAGTATTACATGCAACCATGTAGAAGCAAATCTTTTTTAATATTTTAATGCACGCAAATCTTTTTTAATTACAGGGTGCTGTTTTTTTTTTTTTGACCGGAATTACAGGGTGCTGTTGGACGGCAATTTTTGTGCTACTTGAACAGAAAAGGCGATGTTGAGTTGACTTTTAATTAGACTTTCTGACAACAAATTGCGCCCCCTAATCATATCATATTGGTATCTCCGGTGGCCCTGTATCACAAAAGTTACAATATATCAACTCATGGACCCATCATAATAATTTATAAATAATTTTTTAATTACAATTTATAAAATATGAAGTATGTATGTAAAAAAAATATTTTTTGTATTTATTTGGGTAAAATATACTTATAAGTGATTTTGAGTGCCCGATATCTGTCACCTGCAATATAATACCACCAAATTTCAGTATTCAATGAAATAATAATACTTCTAATTCTTAATATCAAAAAAATTAGATAACTAAGTTATAAATATTTAAAAATTAATTAAATTAATTTTTTTGTAATAAATAAAATATAATTTTTAATTATAATTATGTTGATAGGAAAATTTTTTTAATACATGTAATCAAAACAGATACTTTGGTAACGAAATTTTGAATTTGAGAGGCAATTAACATCATATTTAAGACCAAATCTAATCTCTCAACTAGCTGATATATTTATCTTATAAATTCATATATAATTTAATATTCTCTCTGTCCTTTATTATAAGAAATAACTACTATAATCACATGATCAAAATATTAGTTAAATTTAGTTAACAAAATAAATGTTTAAGATACATACATATTTTTCCAATTGTGTCATTGTTTGTAAAGAGAGTATATGAAAGATTGAGTAGAGATTTATTGCAAAGAGATAATAAGGTGTTATATATTCCCTCCGGTTCTTATTATAAGCTTCGGATAACTAAATAATTAGTTTAAATTACTTAAAAGCAATAAATAAATTAGAAATATACTTTTGTTTTTAAATATCACCTTATAATAAATGAAAGAGAATGTGTGGGGAGATGCGATAAAAAAATTATAACAAGTAGAGAGAATAAATAATTAAAGACAAAATCGAAAAAAATACATTAAATTTTAAGACAAACGCCAAATTAAAACTTATAAAATGAATTATATTTTCTTAAATTTAAAGCTTATAAATAGGATTGAAGAGTGTATTTGATAGCAGCAAAAGTAAAAAAAAAAATTAATTTAAAATTTGTCATATAGAAAATTTTTGTCTTATATTTAGAGATACCACTCTAAGAGGGGTTGTCCTTATATAAATGACAGAGGAGTACTATACAAATAGAAGGATATTTCGAAGAGACTTGATATAATTAACTAATGTATTTGATTTTATATTAATGATTAGAAGGATATTAATTAGGCTAGAGGGACTAATTGACTTCAACGTAGTAATGAGTAGATTGAGATGTTATATTACATTTTATTAATAATAATAATAATAATGATAATAATGTTAATGTTGAGAATGTGACCTGTCTAAGTCGGTGAAGCATTGCGGTTTACTGGACAGAGCCTATTCAACAAACAAATCTCCAGAAAGACAGGTGAGATGCCTCATTTGTTTGGTGAGTGACGTTCCAATACTTCCCTTATACTAATCACATCTTAATTAATTAATTAATTAATTAGTTAATGCTATCCAAGTAATTACTCATGTTAGTGATGCCCCTTAACGCCTATAATATTCTGTATTAAACTTTTTTCTATGCTCATTCTATTATATGCACGTATATGATATGTGCATCACATACAACATGGCACCCATCTGGTCCCCCCCAAAAAAAAAAAAGAGGCACCAATGCATCAATATGATTTTTTTCTTTTTTTTCTTTTTTAAAAAAAGAGGTTAATCCTTGATACTCTGTTTATCTGAAATTGGTGGTTTTACCCCTTAAAATTTGATTTCATTTTAGTCTCCATATTCCTTGACATATGCCATCACTAAATAAATCACTTGACAGAAAAATAAATAAATATTAGAGACAAATGAATTGTGGTCTATTAGCTCTTATATTAAAAGAGTATTTAGAAACTATCAAAAGCACTTAAAAAAGCACTCTTCCGGTCCTAAATATAAGATCTTTAGGACCGGAGGAGTACTACCTTCAGTTCTATGTATAAGAACTAATTAATTAATTTAAATAGATTAATAAAATAAGTTAAATTAGTTATTTGTAATAAATAAGTACTCCTCCGGTCCTTAATATATGACCCAATTTTTGAGTTGGTTTTGGTCCTAAATATAAGACCCATTTCTCATATTTATCAATTTTCTTTAAATTACCCCTATAGATACTCCTTCAACCATAATCAAGTAGAAGATGAAAAGAGGGTATTAATAAAGATAATTATGGTGTTTTAAGAAAAATGTGTCATTTTTTTTATAATTAACTAACTTACCTAACTTTCTTAATCTAATCAAATTAGTTAAATGGGTCTTATATTAAGGACCGGAGAAGTATTATTTTTTCTAAAATATTCTTGTTAATCAAGTTTATTGATTATAGCTACTATTATTAAAAAGCTTATCATAAAAAAATAAATATGAAAAATAAAATAAATTAAAATTTTATATTTAAGATTAAAATAAAAATTTAAAACCTAATGCAAAGTAATATAAAATGAATATTTTTCAAAATTATACTAACCGTCAGATGTCGTGCGGAGAAAGGCGGACCCATGAGGTCCATTCCAGTCCCACGCTCTTCCAACAGCGCGTGAGAATCTGGGGATGTCCCTTCCTCCCTCCACGAGACTGTTTATCTCCATTCTCTATTTGACGCTAATGTTCCGTCTCGCCTTACTTTCTGGCTTAGTTCGCTTCTTCGTACTTCCGTAAGCACTCTCTCTGCCAACTCTCCTTCTTCGCATGCTTTCGTCCCTCCGGCTCCATTATCGGAGCCCCAGCTCCATATAGAACCCGTGATAATTTACATTATCGTTTTCTTTCTCCACTTTTCTGTGCTTTCAGATCTTGAATTCAGCAAAAATGTCTAAACCATGGGGTGGTGCCGGAGCTTGGGCCGCCGAGGCCGAGCGCGCCGAGGCCGAAGAGCGCGAGGCAGCGGCAGCATCTGCTGCTTCGGGATCCCAGAACTTCCCCAGCCTAAAGGAGGCCGTGAATACGAAGCCTAAGAAGAAGAAAATGACTCTGGGGGAGTTTAATAGTATTTCCACTGTCGGCGGAGGTGGTATGGCCACCGAGTATAAGGGCCTGACGCCGGATGAGATGCTTCGGCTCCCTACGGGCCCGAAAGAACGTTCTGCGGATGAGATGCCGTACGGTCGTGGGTTTTCCTCTTTTGGGCGTTCTGGTCCGCCGCAAGGACGCATGCGAGACCGTGATGACAATGATGGTTCTTGGGGTGGAGGAAGAAGATCCTATGGAGGATTTGATGAAGAACGCAGGGGTCCCCCTTCTAGGGTTTCTGACTACGATCAGCCATCCAGGGCAGACGGGGATGATAATTGGGCTTCGGGTAAAAAATCTCTTCCATCGTTCGATTCAGGTCGGCAAAATCGCTATGGTTCGCTTGGTGGTGGTTCCAGGGCGGATGAGAAGGATAACTGGTCAGTTGGTAAAAAGCCTTTTTCTGCTAGACCTTCCGCATTTGGTTCTGGGTTTCGCGATTCAGGTGTGGAGCCTGACCGCTGGACTAGGGGACCGTCACGTGATAACGACCGAGAGCGTCCCAGATTGGTTTTGGATCCGCCAAAAGGTAATGCCCCTGGTAATGAGCCGGTGAAGACAAATAAGGCGAATCCTTTTGGCGCAGCTAGGCCCAGGGAAGAAGTTTTGGCTGAGAAGGGTGTGGATTGGAAGAAGGTGGACTCTGAAATTGAAGCTAAGAAGACAAGTAGGCCTTCAAGTTCGCACTCTATCAGGCCATCCAGTGCTCAATCCAGTCGTTCTGAGGATACAGGGTTGCAGGAGACAGAAACTATGATAAAACCCAGACCAAAGGTGAATCCATTTGGGGATGCAAGACCCCGAGAAGTATTGCTGGAGGAGCGAGGTAAAGATTGGCGGAAGATTGATCTTGAATTGGAGCATCGTGGTGTTGACAGGTCTGTATTTCATTATGTTTTTATATTGCCTAGCCATGATGATTCGGTTATAGCATTCTGATGATATGCTTAACGATTAATGGTTTCCCCCTTTTCTTGGAGATGCTATCTTAGTTTTGCACTGGTTTTGTATTAAATATGCTTCTACTAGATATTGAGGTCTGGTAATGGTTTAATCATGTCATTTACTAGAAAATATTTCTTTAATGTTGCGTACTGTTTATCCCTTGTTACAGCTAGTTTAGCTATTGCTTATGTAATTTCTGAAAAGTTTCCAGGATCCGTTATCATTTTAAATTTTAAGAGAACAGGAGTTCATTAATTTTAACGGGTCTTGTTGTGATGGATGAATTGGTCTGGTGATTCTGTGGAAGCATACTTTGTGTCACACACGCCAAAAAGAAAATAAATGGAATAATTGGATGCTTAGAGAGTTGTGTGGTGGAGAATGCTGGTCCATTTTGTTTTGTGCATGTCTTAAAGTTGACAAAAGATGTAATTGTACCTAAACAGTTACATTCAGAGGTGCTGCAAAATTTAAATGGTATAATACAACCATAGTAAGGTTTATAGATGATTCAACACTTTTGTGCCCTACTAACCCAGCGGACTAGCTTTCAGTTTATATCATGAGATGGTTTCTCATAACAATATTTGATAAATGGCTGGTGATAGCTTAGTGGGAACTGGCTTCTAAATTCTTGATGTTTAATAGAATAATGGAACAGTTAAATTATATCGATTCAATTTATGTTAGAGTTTTTTGGCCCTTTCGTACTTTCCTGCCTGGCTTAACGTAGTACAGTCCTTTAAAGGGAATATTTAATTTATAACCGGAGTTAGAACTGAATGTAAACTTTCATCGTTTGGGTTCAGGTTGGTGTAACTATTTATTGGAGATTTGTATATGTTGAAGATATAATTTTTAGGGGCATTTTTATGAGCAAAGAAAGTGATTAGTGACTTTTGAGTCCAAGGCCATTATACCAGCTAACCGAAGTTGTTTATATTGCATGTTTGTAAATATATGGAGTTCAATTTATTATTTTTACATGATAATGTGACTCTGAGTGCATGTTTGGTTTCACTTTGGAAAACATCAAAACCATTTTCAATGTGAGACCAAACATGCTTTAAGCTGTTTTGCTAACACTCATTAAGGGCCTGTTTGGAATAGCTTATAAGTAACTTTTCAACCGTGATTTACAGAATATGGGATAAGTATGTGAGAGGAGTTTTGTTTCGGGTTATGTGAAATGTGCTGAAAGGTGTTTTAAAATGCTATCCCAAACAGGCCCTAAATACTGTTCCATTTTTTTTTTTTTATTAATTCAGTGCATTTTTCACTTAATGCAATAGTTTTTATGACAGAAGCGTAGGGTGTATGGGTTTCTTTTGAGTAACTTATTATTTTAATCTTAAATTAGTGAAGTATGGGTTTGTAGCTAAAGTTAGGATTCAGATAAGTTTCGCCTTCTATGGTTCAAAGGATTTGGACAGAAAAAGGAAGGAATAACATTGTGGCAATGAACTGTTTTTGTTGTGGTTTGGAACGTTTGGTTGGAGAGCAAACGTTCATTCCATCAGGGGTGCGGTCTTTAATTCCTTGTGGGGTTAAAGGAACTATTGTGTCATCTTTCTGGAGTTTGGCTTTGGATTTTATTTTATGGACTTAATTTATTAGATATGCAGATGGATTGGAGAATTTTGCTTTATCATTATCTCCTATCTTCTATTCTTTTCTGTTCTTGTTTCAATTCTGGTACTCTATTTTAGGTCAATACTTGCATCTTCCTCAATTGGACGTTTTCTTCTCTTATAAATTTTTTTTTTTGGTTTCTGAAAAAATAAAACCTTTTCGCTCATGTAATCAAACCACTGTAGAGTTTTGGCCCAGTGTTATGTCTATCACTTCTGCCTTTTAATTTTATGTAAGTTAGCTGAATTAAATAGACTGTTCCCCTCTGCCCCATCGTACTGATGATAATTTCACAGTATTATGTGTTTATATGTAGGCGTTAGGGGTCCGTAGACCATACTTGGTAGCACTGGAGTTGATAAAATTGCATTATAAAATAATTATGCAGACTTGCAGTGTTATTACACCAGTTCACTATTAGATTATAAGTTTTGTTGTATATCAGATTATTAAATACCACATTAGATGGACGTTAATGACTATGATTCTATCATCAAGTAGTTAATGGCTGTTATTTTGCATAAATACTTAATGTTGGTTCCAATCTATACATCATGTCAAGCAAAATCTATATAATAAAAGGTCTCAATTTAATGGTAGCTACTTTTGGAAAACGTACTTTGAACAAAGGTGTGAAATTGATTTAATTGCGGTCAAGTGATATCTTTTATTTTTGACTGTATGAGATTGAATCAACTAGAAAACTGTTAAGACCTATGATCTATCAACACAGAAAATACATCAAAAGCTCAGGACACAGCATGGTAAAATTCTTCTAAAGCTTAGCGTTATAAATCATGTCCTCTCTTTGCGTGCCAAGTAAAGATGTTTCTGAGAACTAATCATGTGCTAAGAACAAAGAGAATCTGTGTAAATTATTCTATGCCATAATGCAATTAGAGGGGAAGATATGCCCCTGAAGATGCTTGCATCTCGCCAGCTATAGGATACCAAATGAACAAATTTGTTGGGAGTAGAGATAACTTCATCTGGAGATAGGAATTGATTACAGAAACAATTAAACTGGGTGAAGGTGGAAACATTCAAGCAAGATCAATACGAATGAGGATAATCAATAATGACGAAAGGAAGAACTGTTGAGGTTCAATATTTAGACAGCTCGGACTGATGAAATGATATTATTCGTTGGATTTTGATGGGAGTCCTGATCTCCCGCTGAGGTGGCAGTATAAAATAGCTACAGCAGACAATAAATATACTGCAAAACAAGACCAATAGCAGCTTTGAGGGGACTACCTTCCACAAGAATGTGGAAAATTCTCCTGGCGCCATTTTTTCCTACTTTTCTAATAAACTTCCTCTTGAACCTCCTATTGAGCTTTGGCATGCCCCTTGGCTTAAATCTTTAACTGCCTCGTACTTTTGTACAGTTCATACTGAGTGTGGGGGGATCTATCAGGGTGCGGATATTTTGGTGGATATGTACCATCCGATTAATATAGTTTAGCATTAGTAAAAACTTGTAATACATTTGAACATGTCTACCACTTTGGATGTATTCCAACAAGCTTCATGCTTATGTCTAATATTCCATAAGAATTTTTTAATTAAACTCATGCTATATTTATTGTTTTGCTTATCATCTGCATATATGCTCATGTTGGCATCTGGATTCCTGACAAAGTTGACATTTCAGGCCAGAAACTAGGGAGGAAAAGTTATTGAAAGAAGAAATTGATAATTTGAAGAAGCAGCTTGAGAACGAGTCATCATTAGATTCAAGGAAGGAATCTGTGGAAGAAGCTCGTGGAGACCACAATAGCCCACAAAAAATTTTGCTTCAGAGGGAAAGGGAGCTGCAATCTCTAATTCGTGATCTGGATGACAAGGTTCGTTTTGGACAAAAAGCTATTGAAAGGCCGGGTTCCGGAGCGGGAAGGCCGGGTTCCGGAGCAGGAAGGCCACCTTCTGGAGCAGGAAGGGCTGCTGGTTTTTCTGATAGGCCGCATTCTCGGTCTGGCTCATTTGAGGATTCTCGGAGTGTGGAATTCACAGACAGGCCTCCATCCCGAGGCACAGGGGATTTGTGGACTCGGCCTGATGACAGAAGATCATTTCAAGGTGCCAGGGACAGAGGGTTTCCAAATAGCAGAGTCTTGGATAGGTGAGCATGTATTGCTGTATTCCTGTCTTTTTCCTATTGCCACTCCTGGCAAGAAGTTTGTTTTACCTGTCTCTTGGGAACAGTTCCCAAGTTTATAATCTAGAAAATGGTTGCATGATTCTAGTGCTCCATATACCCTTTGATAGTATGTTTATACGCTGGGACCGAAAGTGTGCGCATATAGTGTCTCCTGGCATGAGGTCCCAAGTTTATAACCAAGAAAATGGCTGCATACAATATAGTAGTCCATAGATCCTTTGAGATTGGTTATATGTTGAGACATGAAGTGTGCGCATATAGCTGAATTCTTCGCATGAGTTTGGAACATCTGTAAATGTACTTATTGGCCTTCAGAATTATTATTAGAAGGCTGATAGTTGTGCTGTCTTACAGGTCAACATCGAGAGAGAGATGGTGACTGGCGGCTGAGGAGTAAGAGTTATCTTCAACTTTTGATGAGCAGAGCCTAATACTATTTTGCCCCCTCTTATTTGTCTTTTCAGATAGTTTTGTTTCATTTTGCTCCTGGAATTGGAGCGGCAATCATTGATTACGGGCATAACAACTTTTGCCTTTGTTAATGGCACATCCTGAAACAGCGTAAATTTGTTTCCATGTGATTTTTTTGGGTGTCTGGTGGAATGAAGGGAGCCTGTAATTTTATTAGGAGTAATTGGTTAAATTTTTATGAAAATCATGAAACTTGGCAATGAACGTGATATTGCCCAAAATCTATACCGTGATCATGTATGATGCCCACTGTACCTTCCATTTTGACTGACACTTTGGCATAGGTTGCGATTCTGCATTTTTGTTTTCTGCCTCTGAAGTGTGAAGTACCTGATGCTGATGGTGTTATTATCATTATTCAAAGAACTTTCATGTGTTACAATCTACAGCGAAAGGGTTGAAGGAATAAAATGTAATCCCAGTCGTGCTTCTAGTCACTGGTTTATTTATTTTCTTTTGTTTCTTTTCTTTTTTTGTTTTTTTGTTTTTGTAAGGATGTGGTCAGTTAATTTGTACATCAGTTGAAAATTAGATCTTTTTCTGCTGCTTGTGTGGAGTGCTACAATTTTTTTCCCTTGCACCCTTTTTTGGTAAAAGAAGGGAACAGTAATCTGGTTTTTTTTGGCTATCCATTTGTGTGGGAGTATGCTTTGATATGCTGACTGGTTTTTTTGGCTGTATACCTTGAATCTTGAAAATATATGCATAATATAATATGATTGAACTCCTGTAGAATTAATACAAATGGTTCTTATTATATGGTGGCCACTAGATGCATGATAAACACGACTTAGAGCTAGGTATGTTACCATAGTCCTCAGATTAGCTGATATCCTGAAGTTAGCTCAATTGGTAAGGATATGGGCCTGAAAAAGAAAAAGGAGGATGCATGCTATTTTTTTTTTTTTCCTTAAATGAAGATATTATCTCATCAATTTTTAAGGCAAGGTGGTATAGGCACTATTTCGGTAAGGGTTTTTATGGTAATTATCCTAGGAGAAAAGAAAGTAAGATTCCTGAGAGTTTGTTACAGGAAAGAGAATGTATGGGCCTGATGTATATGAAGGATAGAATATATGTGTGTACTGCTTTGATTTTCATTTTCGTGAATGAATATTCTGTTTCTCTCCCTTTCCTCTCTATCATAAGGTATCAGAGCCCTCCTCTCCGGCCCCATGGCTCTGTCGGAGACGCGATCCTCGTCCGATCGTCTTTTAGACATTGAGCATCGTCTCGATCAGCAACAGACCCTTTTTGACTTTGTTAATGCTCCATTGGACCAACAATCTAATATCTCTGATGTTAAAGTGGCATTAAAGGACCTTTCCTCTAAACTTTCTCAACTGCATTCTTCGGCTAGCAATCGTCCTGGTTCGAGTGATGGTGACAGACGTCCTGGGTTGAGCGAAGCTGTGTTACTTGGTTCAGGCTTGCCCACTCTCCCTACATTTGGATCTTTTCATGAGTTACACGACTCTCGTTCGGCACTTAGCTATTCGATTCCTACCAAGTAGAGCTGTGTGGAGTTCCCAAAGTTTGATGGGTCTGAATTTCAGTGGGTGGGCATATCGGGTCTGCTAGTTCTTTGACGTGGATAGAACTCCGGCTGACCAACGCATTTGCCTCCTTGGCATTCACCTCGAGGGTCACGCATTGTAATGGCACCAAACATTCATGCGTCATTGCTCATTTGTAGATATCTCATGGGCTGAGTATTTTAGGCAAGTGAAGATTAAGTTTGCTAATGTTCGGCACGAGCATCCTCTAATTACCTTAAAGAAGCTGTAACAGCTTATTGACCCTGTCTCAGAGTATGAGAAGAAGTTCGATGAGCTCCTCAATGAGGTTGATATCCTTGAACCAGTCGCCATTAATCTTTTTATTAGGGGTCTTAATGCTGATATCTAGAAGTTTGTCCTTAACTTTGCTCTTTCATCACTCTCGAGTGTAATGTCGACGCGAGGTTGCAGGAATCAACCATACAAGCGCTGCACGATAATACACCAGTGTCTCATCGCTAGAGTTGGTAATACGGCGGGCCTAGCCTTTTTGGCGGGCTCGGGTTGGCAAAATGCCAACTCGCCAAGGTGCGGGCTACTCCAGCCCGCACCGTTTTCAACCCGCTCCGTCGCCAGCGGGCTAGCCTGCTTTTTTTTTAATTTTTATTTTTATATAATTTCTAATATATTATACAACATAATTGGAGGATTTTAACCCCCAAATTTCATATTTACATCTTCTCATTCATGTAATTACATATGTAATACATACATAAAAGATCTACTTAATTAATTTGGATAAGAAAAATAGTCAAATTAATTATTTAGAAAAAAATGTGTTAGTTTTTCTAAAATATCTTCTCAAATTATAAATTAATCCTCACATTATTTTATTATAACTCATTACTCAAGTTTAAAACTTCAAGTCTAATTTTAACATTACAAACTAAGCTCAAACCTATACAAATAATAATATTTAAAAAAAAAAAAAGTTAGGCGGGTCGGCGGGCTCGGGCTGGCAAAACGCCAGCCTGCCAAAGTGCGGGCTATTTTAGCTCGCACCGGTTTTGGCCCGCACCGCCGCGGACTGGCCCGTATCCGTACCGCCAGCCCGCATTCCCAGCTTTACTCATCGCTGTTCTAGCACTTGGGTACCAGGGGAATCGGTGGGTCGCGTTTGGTAAGGGGCCCTAAGACAAGCCTAGTTGCTGATACTACAAGGACCTTCAAAACGAAATCATTCGACCAACCATCAGCCCATTCCACTGCATCGCACTCTCCAGTCACCGCTGTATCAGTTTCTTCTAAACCTACCTGTCAGCTTTCTAAAAAAGAAATGGATGATCGAAGGCGAAAGGGATTGTGTTATTGGTGCCTAGAAAAATTTTCAACTGGTCATCGTTGTAAGGAATCTCATTTATTTGCATTGGTGATCGAAGAAGACAAGAGCACTTTGAAGACGCCCTCGACGATTGATGCCTTAGGGACGATTAACGCCATCAAAGGAGACGATCGAGCACCAACTCTCAAACTCCTTGGTCAGATTAAGAAACAGAAGGTCGTCATTTTAGTAGACATTGGCAGCACACATAATGTGTTGGACGCCTCGGTAGCTAAACGCCTCCAATTAAAACCCCAAGAGCGTAGCGCAATTCGCCTTACTATGGCAGATGTAAGACAGGTGGTAGTTTCTAAGCATTGTCCTAGTTTATCATGGGAAATGGGTAACTCAATATTCACTGTTGAGTTTTTAATTATGAAAATTGGAGGGTATGATATGATTCTTGACACTTAATGATTGAGGACAATTGGATGTTTTACCATGGACATCAAACTTTGATTATTTGAATTTATTTACGAAGGGAGGAAAATCGAGTTGCATGGCTTGGGTTATTCCCTTTCTTCTGTTTTAACAGAGCTCTCTTCAAACCATGAATTAGTTGCTGCTGCATCTATTCTTCTTATTAATGCATCCTCCTCTTTACAAGTGGGATTGAAGCATCATACGTCCCTTCCTAAGGAATATCAACAACAATTATATTAGTTATTGGACCGTTATACTGATGTTTTTGAAGAACCTAAAGAGTTACTTCCTTCCTGCCTATTCGATTATTCTATTCCCTTACATTGTGATAAACCTATAAGCTGTAGACCTTATTGATATGGGCCAACACAGAAAACTGAAATTGAGAGGCAAGTCCAAGAAATGCTTCATTCATACGTGAGAGTTCCAGTTCTTTTGCTGCGCTAGTGGTTTTAGTATAGAAAAAAGAAGGCACTTGGCGTTTTTGTGTTGATTATAGAAGACTTAATAAGGCTACAGTAAAGAACAAGTTTCCTATCCCTATGATAGAAGAGCTTTTAGATGAGTTGACTGGTACTGTGTTTTTTTCTAAGTTCGATCTTAGGTTTGGTTACCATCAGATACGAATCAAGGTAGATGATGTCCACAAAACAGGCTTTAGAACACATGAAGGCTTGTATGAATTTGTGGTTATGCCCTTTGGGCTTACAAATGCCCCAACCACTTTTCAAGGTCTTGTGAATTATGTCTTTAAGGCATTTTTGTGGAAATTTATCTTGGTTTTCTTTGACGATATATTGGTTTATAGCAGAGATTGGGATTCACATCTGCAACACTTAGATACTGCCTTGTCCATATTGAGGCATCACAAGTTATTTGCAAAATTTTCCAAGTGTACTGTTGCTGCCACTCAAATAGATTATTTGGGTCACATTATCTCTGCCCAAGGTGTCCAAGCTGACCCAAAGAAACTTGAAGCAATCTGTTCGTGGCCCATTCCCTTTAATCTCAGAGAGCTACGTGGCTTCCTTGGCCTTACAGGTTACTATTGCCGTTTGATATGGAATTATGGCGCTATTAGTAAACCTCTCTCTGACTTGTTACGGAAAGATATCCCTTTCCAATGGTCTCCTGATGCAACTGATGCTTTTCTCAGGTTGAAAACTATGATGATTTCCCCTCTAGTGTTAGCTCTTCCTAATTTCAATGAGCCTTTTATTGTGGAGAATGATGCTTCAAGCACTGGTTTAGGGGTTGTTCTTTCTCAAAAGGGCACCTGGTGGCCTTTGTTAGTAAGATCTTACCATAAAAAAAGAAAACCCTTTCAGCCTATGAACGTGAATTATTGGCTATTATTTTTGCAGTGAAGCAGTGGCGCTTACTTGTGTAGTCGCAAATTTATCATCAAGACTGATCATTTACCACTCAAACATCTCTTAGAGTAGTGTGACTTGAATCAAGATCAGTTTAAGTGGCTACATAAACTGTGGGGGTTGAATTATGAAATCGTTTATCGCAAGGGGAGTGAGAATGCAGCTACAGATGCATTATCTAGACAGGGAGACACCTTGTTTTTGGCTCTATCTAGACTTGTGTCTCCAATTTATGAGAGGGTTAGGGACTCCTGGTTGACTGATGAACATCTACAGACATTGATTTCTGCTCTTGAAGAGGATCTGTCCTCTCATTCTAAGTTTATGTGGCAGCATCAACTTTTAAAACGAAATGGCAAATTGGTTGTTGGCGCTGATAGAGGCCTCCGTCAGGATCTACTATCATTTTTTCATGAGGATAGTGTTGGGGGACACTCTGGTATACACCCTATGTTCCACAGAATCTCTTCTGTCTTTTATTGGAAGGGACTAGAGAAAGATGTTAGGAATTTTGTACGTGCTTGTACTACCTGCAAGCGATTTAAACCTGAGTTGACAGCCTCACCAGGTTTAATTCAACCTTTACCTATTCCTGACCATATATGGACTGATCTCTCTATGGATTTCATTAGTGGCCTTCCCAAATCATATTCCAAATCCACTATTTTGGTAGTGGTTGGCAGACTGTCCAAGGCTGCTCATTTCATGGCCCTTAAGCATCCCTTCATAGCTGTAGATGTCGCTTAGCTCTTTCTAGACAATGTGGTCAAGTTACATGGGTTTCCTAAGTCAATTGTAACAGATAGGGACCCTATTTTTTGTTGCAAATTTTGGAAAGAACTTTTTCGGTTATATGGGGTTAAGCTTCAATATTCATCTGCATGTCATCCTCAAACGGATGGTCAGACTGAGGTTCTCAATCGTTGCTTGGAATGCTATTTTAGATGCACGACAGGGGATTTTCCTAAACAGTGGGTTAAGTGGTTACCTTTAGCATAGCTATGGTATAACACTACATATCATTCCTCTATTGGAATATCACCATTTGAGGTTGTTTATGGCGTTGCACCACCAGTACATTTGCCTTGCATTGCAGGCGATTCCTCCAATGATTTAGTGGATTGCACTTGTCTCTCTAGAGAGCGAGTCCTACAATTGCTCAAGCAACATTTGTTGAAAGCATAGCATAGAATGATCCAACGAGCAAATAAACACAAGTCTGAACGTCACTGTAACATTGGGGATATGGTCTATCTCAAACTACACCCTTTTCGTCGAAACTTGTTGAACAATTCTTCCCTTCATAAATTGGCAGCTCGTTATTTTGGTCCCTCTAAGGTGCGGGGTAAGATATGGGTTGTTGCATATAAACTAGACTTACCAGTAGAAACACGCATTCACCCAGCTTTTCATGTGTCTCTCCCTAAGAAACATATTGGGCCCACTTCGATCCTTGTTCCATCTCTGCCACCTATTGATTCTCAAGGCCAGTTTACCTTGGAGTTGGAGGCCATTTGGGCCGGAAAATCACCAAGAAAAATAATGTGGCTTTTATGAAAGTACTGGTTCAGTGGAAATACTCCCAACCTGAAGACACCACTTGGGAAGACTTATCTATCATCCAACAGCAATTTCCGGAGTTTTCCGCGGCTGCACCACCTACTCGGACAATCCTTGTGGACAAGGATTCCTTTTAAGGGGGGAGTATTGATATAGGCACTATTTCGGTAAGGGTTTTTATGGTAATTACCCTAGGAGAAAATAAAGTAAGATTCCTGAGAGTTAGTTACAGGAAAGAGAATGTATGGGCCTGACGTGTATGAAGGCTAGAATATATGTGTACTGCCTTGATTTTCATTTTCGTGAATGAATATTCTGTTTCTCTCCCTTTTCTCTCTGTCACAAGGTCTATCATAAGATAGCTTATGATTACCAAGTAATCTTTATTCTTTCATTAAATCATATGTTCTTAGGATTTTTCCCACAAGGTATGTAAAATTCATCAAAGGCAGTGTAGCGTCGAGATTTGAGCACTTGAACGCAAAGTTTCTAAAGATTATCCTTCCATTTTCCCTCCGCTTTTTGGCTTATCGTTTTTGTGATTAGAGGCTTTTTTCCCCAGCATCTTATGATGTTTCATGAATAATTGTATTATGTTGGCAAAAAAAAAAAAAAGAATACGTTGTATTAGGAATAATTAATAATTTTTTGATATGAAATGTAAGAATCATTTTATGGTGTAAATTATATTACGAAATAAGTCTTATATTTATGATTAGAAGAATATATTTATCGTGTGTGACTAAGACTTTATTTGCAAATTTTGTTGTATATATGTTGATATATTTGTATGGTAAACGTGTGGTCATTTAATTTTATACTCGAACTCATCAAGTTTATAAAGTACTTTTCCAGTTCTTAATATAAGACATATTTAACTAATTTGATTAGATTAAATAAGTTAGGTAAGTTAGTTAATTATAAGAAATATAACATGTTTTTCTTAAAATGCCATAATAATCTTTCTTAATATTTTTTCTCTCTCTTGTACTTGATTATGGTTGAGGGAGTATTCATATGGCTAATTTAGAAAAAATTAATAAATATGATAAATATGTGTTATATTTAGAACCAAAATTAATTTAACAATTAACTCCTATATTAAGGATTGAAGGAGTATCTTTTTAGAAAAAATGACCAAAAAAAGAAGCTATAAATTTATAAATACCAAGTGGAAATGTCAATAAAAATTTGTTGTCATTTACAAATTTAATATTATCAACACAAATTAAAGTATTGTTATCATTGATTAAGAATTTAGTAACTTTCAACTCTCTTTTTTTTTGTGTCATTCTCCCATCTTTTTAATTCTATAATTTTAATCATGTTAGTCTCAAATGATGATTATCATTTTTTGTGTGTCACTCATTGTTATTTTAAAAAATTAAACTTAATGTGTTAGTATTTATAAATATTTTGTTAACATCTAAAATTTCAATGTGATCACCAACAAGCTATTGGTTGAGGTGGTACGCAGCCCTACTTTTATAAGAAGGAGAACATAAGTTTGATTCTTGAGAAGCGTAGTTGTTGATAGAGATAAAAACTTTTTACATTCTAAATCTTGAAAGGAGAACTTTTGATTAAATAAAAAACAAATTTCAATGTCATCTTTTTGCTGTCTTAGAATTTAAGAACTAAAAAAGTAATTTGTAAAATTAAGAGATCTAAAGGTATCTCGTATGCATTTTTATTTATTTGTACGAGGAAGGAGCATTCTGAACCAATGAAAGTGATAGATTACACCAAGAATGGTTAAATAGAAAGAGTTGGTTTCTCACGGCATGACGAACCAATGTATGAATCTCCATTAAAAAAAGTATTTATATTTAATATCTGATAGTATTTTAAATAAAATTATCTTTAATAAAAAAAATATAAGTACCCAGTGATTAAAAAAATGAAAATGACGACTGATACCGCCAGCATAGAGGGGGCAGTTCTCCACGTCAGAATAAATGCCCGCTACCTTGAGACGGTGAAGCAACCCTCATTTAGATATTCCTTTGGGAAACGAACCTATGGCCTTCCTTAAACCTGCACCTTTCTTCTGTCTGCAGCTGCCAAAGGCAAATACGGTTCAAATCAGTAGCATCCAGTACTTGTTCATCTATGTCCTCTCGCATTTCCTTTTAAATTCTTTACTTTCCAATTGCATTTACTTCTGTAGTTCTGTTGACCAACAAAATTGTGGTAAAGGATCTTCAGATCACACTCTACAGACATTTTGACTGAGGCCAACGCACCTCTAATACCCAAAAGTAGCTAGGGGCCTCCCTCTTTGAGATAGCATTCAAGAGCATTTATAGGTATGTTTTAGGTAATTCAAAATAATTTTTTTCCTAAAATTATGTTTATAGTGTTAGGTACCTTGTCCTTGGATAAATCCAACCCCTTTTCTAAAATTTATATTATAAAAAATAATTTTTTCATATATATATATATTTTTTTCCATATTTTATAAATCACAATTAGAAAGCTATTTATAAGCTAATTATACGGCCCTACATCGTTAACAAAACGGGAACGATTTTATTAAATTATTTAATTATTCCCTCCTATCTCTAATATGTATTACATCCTGCTCTTAGTATAAGACCTATTTAATTAATTTGAGTAAATAAAAAAATCAATTAAATAATTATTTGTAACAAATATAAGTTGATTTTTCTAAAGTATTATTTTTAATTATGATTACCCTTGAATGAAAACCATTAAGGTACTTTATTTCTAATTAATGGAAATATTTTGGAGAATAAATTATAAACTTTAGAGACAAATTGGATTAATGTGTTATATTTGAGATCAAATACAACTATTAATTATTTCTTATATTAAAGATTGAAAGTAGTAGTTAGCTTAAGCTTACTTTTGATCATAAATGCAAGCTCTCAACTCACTGTCTTTCTATTTATTATTTTTTCTCAAACTAATTTGTTTCACCTAGTGTTATTAATTTATGATCTAATGTTATGTATGACTATTTTAGGAAAATCATGTTATATTTGTTTAACTAATTTATTTGAATATTTTAATGTATTAAAATTAATAAGTAGTTTTTATATTAAAAATAAAGAAGTATTAATAAATTTATACTCTCTCTGGTCCTTATCATAAGACCCTTTATAGAACAAATTTTTGGTCCTTTTTATAAAACTTTATGATAGTTTTAATGAGTATCAAAATTTTTTTTCCCATAAATGCTCATATTTAATAAGGATAGTGAGAGGATAGAAATTTTAATAGAGTGTTGAAATTTGGTGTAGTTAGAGAAGGTAATATTGAAAATTACTTATTTTTATGATATTTAATACTTTGAATTAGTATATGTGCATTAGTTAACAATCCCTTATAATAAAAATAGGAGGAAGTAACCAACAAACTTTTAGTTAAAATGATAAGTCAAATTAAAACACTAAATAGATACTTTAGTTTATTTATTTAGAAGTGATGGAACTTGGAGGGACGCAGCGGTTGTATTTTGTAACCATCGTGTCCACATGTTGCCATTGCCAATGGGGTTTAAATACGGCGGCAGGAGAGATAGCTTCGTTTTCGTCCACTCTTTTAGCTCAGTCCCAATGTGCCATAGCCAAAATGCTTGTCTCTGCAATCACCAACCCCCTCCCCTCTCTCTGCTTCTGCAACCACCTTCTCTGCTCCAATTCCAATAGCACCAATCTCCTCCTCCTCCTCCACCACCACTTCCCGGCTCCACGTTTTCGCTCGCCCCCGCCATCTCTTCATCTCCAACGCCTCCGCTTCTTCTTCCCTCCTCCTCCCTCCGACACATTCTTCCCAAACTCTTAGCTCTAACCCTAATCCTGATACTGATACGCTTCGCCATGTTGCTCAAACGACACGGCCTGATGATGATGATGATGATGATTCCGAGCAGGCTATGGTGGCTTCCGCCTCTGCTCTCGCCTCCGCTATTCGTAAATCTGCTACTTCCCCTGTTGAGTTCATCCAGCGGATTGAGAAGAAACGAAAAAGCGGACTTGTACTACCTAGTCATGATTTTCAGGGACTTTGTGTCGAACAGCTTGACCTCCTTCGTAGGATATTTCCTGAAGCTCTGCTCTCGGTTGGCCTCTTTTTCCTTTTTTTGTGCTTTATTTACTTGCCCAAAGTCTGGTGCTTCTGTTTGAGTAATGCTGATGATTTTTTCCCCAGGTTTATGTTAGACCAGCTGGTAGCTATGTGATGGATCGTCTGGAGTTGCGGAGGGTTTCTCTCAACCCACGAGATGCAGATGACGTTGTTATTTTAGTTGGTCATTTTAACATTCCTACAGGTTTACGTGGTGCCGAAGCGGCGCTTTCGGAGTCGCAAGTATGATCATTCCTGTTCTCCTTTTTGCCACTCTGATATAATTAATTAGTGAATTTGGGATGGATGTGAATATAAATTGTAGGCTGAAGTTGTTCCAGAAAGTAAGGCTGTGATTTTCCCAATGGTCAAACACCCGTTTGTTGTTGGCTTCTTGGTTGCCGAGCTTCCCGCTTATGGATGTTGGAACATTTGAGCAAGCTCACAGAGATGAGCGAGATAGGTGCCTCTCTGTCGAGAAAACTCATTCGTTGCCGCCTGTTTTGATAGAAAGCGTAGGCAAATTCAAACTGTTCAGGTCAAGGACAACCAATCACAAATGGGAAGTTCACTGACGAGCAAATATCAAATGCTGTCAACATTTCACGTTTCATAGCTGTGGCATATGTTATGGATCAGGTATACTGCATGCGGCAGTTTGATCATAGTAGTTTGGTCCTTACTCTGAACATTGAATACTGGAAAGTTATGATTTTTTTTAAAAAGTTCATAGCAATTCAAACTAAATGTAACATTGTTGTCGAGAAAAATTGACATTAATTTATAAATATTCATGTATTGACTGTTTCACATGTTGTTGGCTTCTTGGTTGCCGAGCTTCCGCTTATGGATGTTGGAACATTTGAGCAAGCTCACAGAGATGAGCGAGATAGGTGCCTCTCTGTCGAGAAAACTCATTCGTTGCCGCCTGTTTTGGATAGAAAGCGTAGGCAAATTCAAACTGTTCAGGTCAAGGACAACCCAATCACAATGGGAAGTTTCACTGACGAGCAAATATCAAATGCTGTCAACATTTCACGTTCAATAGCTGTGGCATATGTTATGGATCAGGTATACTGCATGCGGCAGTTTGATCATAGTAGTTTGGTCCTTACTCTGAACATTGAATACTGGAAAGTTATGATTTTTTTTAAAAAGTTCATAGCAATTCAAACTAAATGTAAACATTGTTGTCGAGAAAAATTGACATTAATTTATAAATATTCATGTATTGACTGTTTCACATGCTATGCAAATTGATTTAATTGATTTCTCATCCACTAATTGTTATATGATTGTGTTTTTAAGAACTACTTTGATGCTTGGCATATTGGTTCCTCAATTCTTCGCTGGCTCACTGGTGTTGTCCTTTTACAGAAAGCAATGTTACTTCAGCAGTCAACATGGCAAAATAATGTCCGGATGAGTAATCTAGTCGAGCAAGTATGCCTTTCCTCGTTTTTGTTATTGTCCTTTTTAATTTCACTTGATTTATTTAGCCCATCTTAATGTCGTTTTTGAACAAAACGTTCAACGCAGATCCGGGGTCCTCTTTCCAGTATCCAGACCTTAAGCAAAATCCTGTCCACTCAAACAAAGAGAAGTGAGGTTTGTATATCACTAGAGTCATACTTGATCTAACATGAAATTACATACAGATCATTAACATGTTTGTATGTGTGAGTGGGAGCCGTTTTGTTTTTTTCCATCTTATAAGTCAGCGTTAATCTGGGGCAGGATCAACTGACATCAACAATCTTTCCACTATGCGACACCTTTTTTGGTGGAATAATTTTATAAAATGTGAAAATTGTTTAGGCAGACATTTTTGTATTCTTAATTAGAAACCAAACAAACTGGAGATATAGTTATTTACAAAGTGCACGTTTGTGAGACCTTAGTTGGTGTGAGGGCATGAGGCTTGTTTTGGGTATGTTAAAATGTCTTGGGTTTATCATCTTTTTAGTTCTAGGACATAAGGATCATACGATTGCATACTATAGTGGGGGAAAAAAAAATCAGTAGTGAAAGGTGGTGTCAACATGAAGTGTGCGTATCCCCAAGTTTGGCTGTGTACATTGTGTTCTGAATTGTAACTCAACGACAGTTATCTATATTGCGTGTGGCATATTGAGAATATATTAAAATGTAACCTGGCAGGTTGCATATGACATTATTGAAGACATCCTGTTGCAAGGTGATCGTCTGAGAGATGTCCTTGGACAACTCCAGGATGTGTTACTTGACCAAGGTACCCATCTTCTCTCCTGATACAGTGTTGTAGAAGTCTTAGGGAGTAGAAGAAAGGAAGTAGGAGAAGAGAGAAGAAGGAAGGTAGAATCAGAGACACGAGAGAGAGAAAGGAAACTTCGATGAATATCATTCATCAATCATTAACAGCAACTCAATTAGGCTACCTAACTCATATATGTAGGTGATAGCCATGTAATGTATTAACTGTCTAATCCTAAGGCTAATTACCTAACTACCCTTGAGGACTTATGGACTTAATAACCCTTTGTTAATAAGTCCCTGTGGCTCATAGAATTAGTACACCACCCCCCCATTCCAACTATTTACAATTATATAACAATACCTCCCCCCCACACCCCCCCCCTCAAAAATAGGGAAAATTACACTCAGGTCCCACAGAGTACAATTAATATCAAAAAGGTCCCACGAAATCGCGAAATGATTCTGAAGTCCCCAGGGACCTGTGTGTAATTAATTCTAATTGTGAAATTACCTACTTACCCCTGTTAATTTTATTACAACAATTCGTTTACAATCTCAACAGTGGCTGTTAACAACCCGAGAAGACGTGATTGACAACCTCGGCAGTGCTCATGACAACTCACTCTGTGGAATGCCAGAGGCGTTGTTGAGGTTGTTAACTACCTCTTCTCGGGTTGTTAACAGCCACTGTTGATGTTGTAAATAGGTTCTAATTTTATTTACAATCTCAACAGTGCTGTTAACAACCCGAGAAGACGTGATTGACAACCTCGGCAGTGCTCATGACAACTCACTCTGTGGAATACCAGGGGCGTTGTTGAGGTTGTTAACCACCTCTTCTTGGGTTGTTAACAGCCACTGTTGAGGTTGTAAATAGGTTCAAATTAACAGGGGTAACTACGTAATTTTACAATTAGAATTAATTACACACAGGTCCCTGGGGACTTCAGAATCATTTCGCGATTTCAAGGGACCTTTTTTATATTAATTGTGTTCTGTGGGACCTGAGTGTAATTTTCCCAAAAATAATAGAACCTACCTTTGCCCTCAAGGGTCTTGTATCTGAAAAGAGGGAAACTACCGCTGCAGTTGGTACAGCAAAACCCAACTTACTTGCTTCTTCAGGAAGATTTTCCACTGCACCAACACCTCTAACAATTCGACCCTTCTAAACCCTTTGGATGCTCACACTTACACTGCATACACTACAATCGATTCCTCTTCTTTCTTTTATGTCAGATCTTTTCATCTCATTGTATCTCTTCCTCCATCGATATATAGGAGAAAGCTCCTTTGTTTTTATTTATTTATTTATTTATTTTTTTCTATTTTGTTGTTACTGATAATTTGTTGTTAAGAAATTGTCACAACTCACAGCACAGCTAGGTGGCTAGAGTAGTTCATGTTGACATGGTAAAGGTAGTGGTAATTGGTGTTCATCTGACTTAGTAGAAAAATGTGGCAGCTGGCCTTAGATGTCCTGGATCCATGGAGTAATCTAACGCCAACTTTGAGCCTCGGATCTTGTCTTCATCCAATGGCTTGAATCCATTCAAGTTAGTTAAGGAGATTGATATCAACTAGAAGAAAGACAGACCCACTTTAATGCATTCTCTAGTATATTATCTTATGGTACCAATTAATGTTACCCTATACTAGAAGTCCGTCTTCATTCTCGTCTCTCTCTCTTTTTGGGTAGGTTGACCTCTTAAGAGGTTGGGCTTTCTCACTATCAGATGCATGTTGATATTCTTATGCATTTAACGATTTGAACTTCTGATGTTTTCTTTCTTCTTGTTTTTTTTCGGGTCTACTATCTAGGCTAAACATACTGCGCTACAATGAAGAAGCTATCAAGAAAATGAATGGTTCCACTAATACTTGCTGAGTCACTAAAATCTCAGTTGTTATAACTTTCCAAGGGATGATTCTGAAAACAAATGCATAAATCTATTGAGTCACATTCTCTAAGTGCTGCTGCCAAGGATATAGAGATGCCCCTACCGCCTTTTGCTCTCGCTCCCTTGCAACATGGAATTAGGTGAGTTTCAATGGTAGATTAATGAATATGCTCCTTTTAATGAAGAGTATACTATAAAAAGCTATTTTGAGCTTTATAGGTATTATTCAAAGTCCCCTTATTTTTCAAAATATTTAATTCAGTTCAATTTTTTTTTTTAAAACTAAAATACCCTCTTTATAAAATATTGAAGTTAAGAGGGTATTTGTCCAGTTAAGAAAAGAAACTATTTTAGTTACAAAATGTATTCAGGTTAGTGGAGGATATTTTAGTTGAAAAATTTAAACTTGTACCAAAGAGCAGCATATCTTTTTGTTTCAGTGGATGTCCGTGTATATTTTAAAAGTAAATATAAGGTCTATGCGATTTTAGCAATGTTCAAAGGAGGTTTTACAACTGACTCTTTAATAAAATAGCTAATTTTCCTTATATATCTCTTCCATATATGTTCCCCATCATGAGTCATCTCCATGCTAATCTGCATGAAATGTAGACTATAATGTAGATTGTTTTTGTTGCATGTATTAATAATATTATCATATATTTCATTTTCTTTTTCATTGGCTGTTAGGTCATACCACCCCTCCCCCCCCCCCCCCCCAAGGATCAGATTATTTCCATAATTCTTTTGCTTATACTTTATTTTAAACGTCAGGAAGACCGTGCAATGTTTCTGAAGTATTAGCTGACTTGGTTGATGCTGCAAGACCTCTTGCCCGGAATCAAAAACGGACAATAGAACTAAATGAACTCTCAGCACCTTTGCTAGCTGCTGTAGAAGGACCTGCTTTGCGTCAGGCTTTTAGCAATCTCATTGAAGGTGCTTTACTACGTACACACGTGGGTGGTAAGGTTGAAATTGTGTGTACTGATGCTCCAGCAGGTGGTACCCTTGTAATGATTGATGATGATGGTCCTGACATGCAATATATGGTAACTCTCCCTCCTGTTATCCAAACAGAGCTATAATCAAACTGGTAGCTTTTGTTATGCATGTGTGCTAGTAGCATTTCCATGGGGGAACTGTGGAATGGCTTTGCTTCGGGAAGCTTGTGATGACATGTTTGAGATAGGGTGGAAAATACTCTTCTATTAAAAACATCTTTACCAGAAAGTGGTGAGGTAGGGAATAGGACATGTTCAAGGTGAAGATAATCAATCAGAATAAATTGAGCAAGGATTTCACTCAGTCTTTCTAATGGCTGGTGGGGAATCTCCCGAACAGAATTGATTAAAAACAAATGACCAGTGCAAGATAAATGATTCTACCTATAGTATATATAACTGATAGGACTTCATAACTGGCATTGCTGCCCTACCACTAAGTAAGACATAACCTCCTTATCTGCCAAGTGGGCATGACTCAAGTGCTAATTGCTTCACCATGCTTTGCGCTTATGACTTCTCCCTCACTTGGTAACTCAACTCCTCCCCTTGATGACTAGGCATCTGATCTGGTGTCTGACCAGGTGTTCCATGCCTAGGCATCCTGTGTCTAGAGATGTGATCAAATGCCTCTTGTCAGAAAGTGAGAGTGTTATGACCCACCTCTAAACAGAAATATTAAAAAGACTTGAGCCAGAAATAAACAACAAAGAGTGGGAACACTTGAGATTGATAATGGTTTTACTGAATAACAAGGGAATAGATGACTCCTAGATACTGATGCCTGAGTTACATAAGCTACAATGAAAGCGACAATTACAGACTAACAAGGAACAGAACAAGATTCAGCACCATGAACTGACAGACTCGCCATACTTTCAAAAGGTTGGCTCTCTCCACTCCAAGTGCCAAAACCGCACGTCTAAATTCTTCCTTGCCTCTTCTGCAACCAAAGGGAAGATTATAGACCCAAAAAATGATTTACAAGCCCTCACCTCAAAGACTTTGACTATAGCAGGCCTATAGCTACCCTATTCTTTACAACTTTCTTCAAAATAGCGAGTCAAACTTCTGCCCATCAAAAATATTTTTCCCTTTCCATGTTTCTTCTCCCAATTATCCAATGCGCATGATTGAAGAGAATAGTCTTGGGAGATCAACACACATTTGTGACAAATAACCAATTTACTAATTTCCTTGATATCATCTAATTGTTTATTTAGCTCTTATATTAAGGATTGTAGGTAGTATAAAGGAATAATAGAAAATAAAGCCTTATACAGAAAAAAAAAGAAACAAAGAAATAAAGCCGCCTTAGGCCAACTCAGGTGGTAAGGATGGGATGGGTTACAGATAGAAAAAAACCTTCCTAATGTATACGAAAAAGGAAAAAAAACAGAAAATATGACAAAATAGTGCATCATGGGTGATCGGCCTTTCTGCTATCTTGCCCCACTTCTCCACCATGTATCCTTGATGACTGGCCAGATCCACTCACCCCTTCTCCAGCTGATCTCCTTTTTGAGTAAGTAAATCTCTCATCATGCCATCTTCTGAGAGGATGAGTACTAAAAGTGCGAGGATATTAACTGAGAAATATCAGATTAATATTATAAAAAAGTGACAATCATTAAAATTAAAAATTAAATACTAACAGCATGAAACTTAGAATTCCTTGATGATGTAGTTGTCTAACCTTGAATCTTAAAACCTTTCTTGTTCACGCCAATGTTTTGGTTAGTTACACCTCTAGAATGTAAGTTATATGCATCATGTAGATGGATGATTAAAAATTAACCTACAGCTTTTTCCCCATTTTCATCTTTTCTATGAAAACATACAGGGACATCTTGTGTCTTCTGTTTATAGTTATTCTTTGACTTCTTTTGCAGTCATTTTAACTAATCACTAGTGTTGCCGTGAATCTGGAACAGAGATGAAGTTGAAGGCTACTGGATCTAGTAAAGATACTTGTCATAATTGTATAATACTATTAGGAAAAATGAAAAAAGATAGGACCAAAAGCGTTATACGTGTGTGATAGATTATTTATGTTGACCTGGCTTGCTTCTAATGATATTGATGGTTGCTTTTAATGCAACCCATGATGAAGGACTGAGTACATGTCATTTTGTGAGTGAACTTTGTTGGTTATGAACTTGTCTGCAGACCCAGATGCATTCACTAACACCTTACGGACCCGAACTCCTGTCTGAAGATATGGTTGAAGACAACATGACATGGAATTTTGTTGCGGGTCTGAGTGTTGCCCGTGAGATACTGGAGAGTTATGGATGTGTTGTGCGTGTGGTATCCCCTCGAATCAGGGATGCACCTCTAGGGGCTGGGGGAACTCGCGTGGAGCTCTGGCTTCCATCATCTGCAAACTCTGATTTGAGCAGCCACATGCAAGAGTTATAACAACGCTTTTGGGTTGTCCATAGTAGATTAAGAGACATTTCAAACTGATCCCATCACATTTTAGAATAGTGAGATAATTAGGATAAAGTGGTCTGGCATGTATTAAGAGTTCTTGCCTTAATCATTGTGAGAGATGCTGTTGGGTCCTGTATATAGTACGCTTGATAGCTCAATGTACAATTTTATCCTTAATACAATGTATAAATGATAGAAACCATAGCGCTTTAAGCTTTAGCTGGCCACACGCGGACCCTTTATGAATTCAGTATGAAGTTGATATAGTTGTCATGAATTGCCCATTGTCCCATTCGTTGATTTAGCCTTTCATATCAGTCTGGTTTTTCTCCACTATTTAATGAGTCCTGGTTGGGACTGTTACTACCTCCTCCTACCCTTAATATAAGAGTTAGATAATTAATTTAAGAAGATAAAGTAAATTAGTTAAGTTAGTTATTTGTTATAAATATATATTGATTTTTTTAAACTATTATTATTTTTAATTATGTGCATTGAAATTATTCATTCGTAGAAGCCATTATAATCAATAAGGATATTGTAGAGAAAAAAATTATAAATATGGGAGACAATGAATTGAAGTCTTGTATTTATAATTAAATTTAACCTATCAACTAGCTCTTATATTTATGAATAAAGGTAATACAAATATATGATTACTCATATCACCTGAAAAAAAAAAGAGAAAGAGATATGATTATTCATACTTGATATTATATATCAAGTAGGATATATTTTAAAATTTTAGGGTATGCGTGCGTGCGTGCGTGTAAAACAAATTAATGTGTGCAAATGAATCATCCCGAAAATTGAGTTTTGTTCAAGTGTTTTAAAGAATAGATAGACATTCATACCAATCAATCAAAAGATTTAGTTTTCTGCAAGTTTTCAAGTACAATTGGAATATTTTGGAATGAGAAAAAAAAAAAACGAGGGATACAAATGTCATGTGTTATGTCTGGTGTGAAAGTATACAAGATATGCAACTAACATGGATATGTCTGCATTTTAAGTATTGGTGCCATAGAGGACCATTTATCTCAAATATTAGAAGTCCAAATCTAAATTAATTTTTCTGTACATATCAATATTTTACGAAGGAATTGTAAATTTGATTATATTAGAGTTGCAGTGGCCTCTTCACTGCAATGCAACTGGATGAGATTCCAGCACAAAAGTAGTCATATCCCATCTGAATTTTCAACCTAATCTTGGCTCACATTACAAGTCTTGGGAGTTATCAAGTGGTATCAATTACACGTTGAAAGAATTATGAGGCTAAAAGTCATAATTGGAGTGCCAAAAGGTCATGAAGCCATAATAATTGTAGTTTGGCAATGCCTTTGGTTGAAATTAAAAGCTGAATAAAGGTGGATATGGATTAACACCATGATTATAGCTACTTCTGTGATCCGATTTATAAGGCATTTCCAGCATATTTCACACAGCCTTAAAATACATTAACTCTCTATTAAAATATAACAAATTTTTAACTTTATCCATATTTAATATATACACCTTTCAAAAAAGATAACTGCCTACACCATAATAAATGAAGGACAAAATAATATATTTACATTGAAAATTTAATAAAGTAACTTATAAATAAGATAAAAAAAAATCTCCTCTCTGTCTTATAAATAAGATAAAAGGAGCTTTTTTTTCATAGAAAAGAAAAGGCATGAGGACACTTCAACCAGAGACTATACAATAATGGCACACTCAAGAGTCTCAAAATACATAGCCTGAACTTAAGACTCTGGGGGCAAAGGAGAAGGAACCACCCCCCCCCCCCCAAAAAAAAACGGCTTTTCAATTCCTCCCTTGTAGGGTTGGGTAATACTTTACCCATCTTATAAGATGGATTAATACTAATTTTACTCCTTTAGATTTGATTTTATTTTGGTCTTGATCTTTGAAATTTAAAACCTTATTTTAGAAATTAAAAACACTATTTTAGAGATAAAAAATGTTTATACATATCAAAATAAGATTAAATTTTAGGAAATCAAACTGTGATTTCGAATACCAGAAATCAAAATTAAAATGAAATCAAATTTCAGAATTAAAGATGATATTACTCCAATTTTAATCCAATTGTTGCTATCACCGGGTAGATAGCGAATTACCCAACTTCTGGGATATGAGGGAAATTTAATTCTGAGTGGGACCAACTAGACAATGCTTCCAAGAGACCGGTGTTTCATGCATTTGAGGGCAAGTTAGGGGATTGACTTCTCTAGCATATTAACTGCAAATCAAATGCGTTTGTGTGTCTCTCTTTCTGTATTTATATCTAACAAAAAGAAAAATAAAACCTTCTGGTAGGGTTGAGTTAAATTTTAGGTGGCTTGGTCTTACCCAAGGTCAGTATGGTTGAGTAGAATTTTTTGGGGAAGTTTGATGAAAAATCACTATTTGAGAAATTTATTGGCAAGGGGAAAAAAGAAAATCCTGATTTGAGCATTATCTTTAGTATGTATAACTATTTTTTTAGTTATTGTACATGTTTTTTTTTTAGCAATGTGCAAATGACTTTTGTTGTGAAGACTTTCGCACATAATTGAAAATAGATTATATACAGTTAAAAAAGAGTTACACCATGAAAAATAAGTTGCATCATGTTCCTTTAATCAATAAAATTTTTAAATAGAGACGTCTCAACGAATTTTCTAATTTTTTAAGGAGTGATGAAATTCTTATATGTAGTTCATTAAAAAATGTTGACTTCTACAAATGTTAAAATTTTATGATTTTCTCGTAATTATGGTAATAATTTGTTGAGTATAATCCAGATAATTTTTACTTTTATAATATTGTAGTATATTTTTAAACTTAACCTTACAAATTATAAAAAAAATTATAGTGAGAGAGAATGTGTGATAATGAATGTCAAGAGATTTTTTTAATAAGGATACGAATGAAAATAGTAATTTAAAATTTTAGGAAAAAATGTTAGTATATTTTAAACTTAACCTTACAAATTATAAAAAAAAATTATAGTGAGAGAGAATGTGTGATAATGAATGTCAAGAGATTTTTTTAATAAGGATACGAATGAAAATAGTAATTTAAAATTTTAGGAAAAATGTTATTTATAATTCATGATTAACCCTATATAATTGCTCATATGTAGAGCCAAAAGAAGCACGTATAAAGTTTTACTAGCATTAAATTTTTATAACAATTCCATAAAAGCTCAAATGGGGTGACTTTTTGGGTTTTTAAAATTCATATGTCGTTTTTTATGAAATTTTTTTTATCTTTTTATCCCCATCACTTAAATTTGAAACCTTATTTGAAGATACAAGTCTTGAATTATTTAGTCCTCGTCTGGAGCTTTTTGTTATAAAGATGCTTACATAAATCAAGATAAATTTTTTTTTTTCATATTTATCTCATATATTGTAAATCATGATTGGACAGCTAATTTTTTTTAAAGATTTATTAATCACCATTTCAAGCGAGGCCTTAAACTACTGACTTTGATGAATGGCCAATTTGGATGTTTGGAAAATTGGAATGGGCAGGGCATGAAATAGCGGATGGCCACGTGGACTGGTTTGCAAGGTTAAAATGGGAAAGGCCAATGAGAAGAGGTCAATGGTGACGGGGAAGTCAAAGTTTGCGTGGCTTGATGAGCCGCATTTATGGGCCTCACATTCATGCCCTGCCTAACTTCATTCTCAAAATTATTGCACCATCAATGACTCCCCATCAACAAGTCAATGCCAATCAATTTATTATTCTGCTAAAGAAAAGTCTACAACTATTATTTTCAAAGACTTAATTAACTGTTTTAAAAATAGTAAAAACTGTAAATAAATTATTTAATTATAACATATACATATTACCTTATATTTTTGAAACACTTTTATATATTATTAGATTATACATCAATTTACATTATCTAAAAAATGATTATATATCAGTTTATAAGAAAAATAATAAATATAAATATTTTGAAATAATTTATTTAGTTTTTTTAGTTTTTTCAAATTAGTCTAACTGAATCTTCTATTAAGGACCGGCTTAATAATAAAACTCATTCCACTTGAGGGATGAAGTGCCATGTTTTGACAGGATTCAAAAAGTGGTATGTATATTTACCAAATCATCCACCCTTTTTTCCTCTTAAAATTATATATATCTCTCCTTGAAATTTATGTTATGTGTAGACAATCTTTCCAAGTTTTAAAACTTTATAATGAATCCCTTTAAACTAATATACTTATGCATATAATTCTCATATTAGTAATTTTGTTCACTGCTTATTTGCGCATATCTTAAAGTTTAAAGGGCTCTTATACTTTCTGGTAAAAAAAAAAAAAAAGGGCTCTTATACAGATAACTCAAAAGTTAACCAGGTTTTATGCACACCAAAATATACGAGTATGATTTAAGAGGGGGCATGGTTGATTCTTGGGGCCATCTACACATTGTTTTGAAAATTTAGGAACGGATAATTATTAAGTTTTAAATGTATAAAAAAATTATTTTAGAGTGTTAAATGTATCATAAAATATTTTAATACATATAAAAAATATTTTAAAATATTGAATACACATTCACGTTTTATAAAATTTTCCCTTTATTGGTTTATTTTCTCATTTCACGACTCTAGAGGAAGGGTAGAATTGCCCATACCATTACTAATAGTTGTGTTAGCCATTTTTGTTGGGTTATTTAGGAAAAGTTACAACGAGGTTCTAAGATAAAAATAATTACAAAAACAAATATGAGTTATTATTTTTTATTCTGAAACTTTCAGGTTGCTTAGGTTGTTGTGAGAATTTTTTAGTAACTATTTTCCTTCATTATAACCTCATTCTAATTCTCCTATTTATTTATTTTCACCAATCATGAATTATCCAACCAAATTAATTAAATCTGTGAAAGGGAAAGTATCCCTATAATTCCAATGAATGAAGTTAATACCAGTCTTCCCCCTGCTGTCATTAAAAAAATTACGTATTTATTATGATTTTGATTCAGGGCCCGTTTGCTTGATATTTTTAACAAAAATGATCTTTTAAAGATATTTTTGAGAAATTTTACAATGTTTGATTTTTTTCCCCCCTTTGCCATCATTTTACAACGCTTGTTTGGAAATCTAACGAATCTTTCCTGCCATCATTATTTTTTATGGTTAGCCTTGACTAACTATGTTTATTGCATTCATAACTTATTAATAGTAAAATTTCGGTTAAAATATACATTTAGTTTTTTAAATTCACATCAAATTTCAGTTTAATTTTTTTTAAAATTTATAAAATATATCTTTAGTCACTTAATCTTAACAATGTCAATCTCATTTAACAAAAAAAAAAAACTTATTTAACAAATCTTTCTTTTTTGAACTTAACAAGTCTATCTGGTTACTTTGTAATTAAATATAAAGAAAACATATAGTAAATTTTAATTCTTTTAATATAATAAGTTTTATATTTTAAAATTTAAACACATTTTGTTAGCATTTAAGTCGCTATTTAAATTTATTAAGTCAACATTTTTTATTAAATGAGATTATCGATATTAAAATTAAGGAATAAAAAATATATTTTAAAATTTAAAAGACTAAGTTAAAATTTCATATGACTACTTTATCCTATAATGTTTTTGTAAGTTTTATATTATCCATGATGATTTAAAAATTTGAGAAAAGAGAGATAATAAGAATATTAAATTTTACTGAACTTTTTTGTGAGATAAAAAGGTTCGGACTATGATTATCATATGTAATTGTCAGTTTCATTTTAGCTGAAATAGAAAGAAATTGTTCATCATACTAATCAATCCAGGAATACATCTTAATCACTAACTAATTCCTTTAATTAAGGTAACGTCACTGTGACAAAGAACTGTATTATGCAACTGTACGCCTTATTTCATGGAAGAGAATTTTCTTAGTCAGTTCAATGGATGCCTAAGCTGTTTTCTTTTTCCTTTTCGGAAAAATCATATTGGAGGTACTTATACTTTTTTTCAATTTTTAATTTGGTACCTATGTGTTTTTTGTTCTTGACTAAATCTTTATTTTTCCTTTATTAACATCATTAATCTTTATGTAGAGACTAAAAATATCAATAGAACAAAGTTATAAGAGCTAATGTTGCTAAAAAGATAAAATTAAATGTTTAATTAAAGGGAAAAAAACACATAGGTACCAAATTAAAAATTAAAAGAAAGTATAGGTACCTTCAATATGGTTTTCCCTTTCCTTTTCTAAATTGAAATTAAAACATCCCCAAGAAGGAATTCTATACTTTTCAGGACGGTCTGGTAAAAGAGAAGTCGTGAAGCACACAATGACCTTAAAAAGATTGACTGAAAAGTCGCCTTAATTCTAACATATATCTATCTATCTAAATCTCTCTCTCTCTCTCTCTCTCTCTCTCTCCATATATATATATATATATATCTCCTCAATGTACCAGTACCACCAACATTCGCTCAACCTTTTTCTTAAAAAAATAAGGTTGTTTTTGTTTGTTTTTTTGGGTGAAGAAACAAGTCCAGAGGAGTCGTGTTTCATTTTCAAATTTGAAAGTGGAAGAGAACGGGAAAACCAGAAAATCTCAAAGATCTTGTTCGCCAGTGCTGCAAACCCAAACCCAGTAGGAAAAAGATTCCATTCGTTTTTTCTTTATTTGCTTTCACCGGTAAATTCTCTGTTTCTTTGTCTCCTTCTTCTTCTGCGCTTGTTACCCTCGGAGAAGTCGAACCCCATCTCCTCAGAGCTCCGATTCCAATTTGCAGCCAGTGTTATTTCTCTCAATACACTTAGCATTTCATAAGAGCACCCTCCCCCTTGCCAGATCTTTCCTCGGTCATCAGGACTGCTTACAGGTATTTAGTTACCCAATTTTTCTGGTCTTTGCTTTGAAGAGCCTTACATTGAAGTAGAGATGCTGCAAGGTTCAAGCAATCTCTAGTCGCTTACTTCTTTGGAGTATCCCGTATATTAGGCTGTTTTCTTGAGCAATTGGAGATCACGTGTCCCAAATTTTGAGCTTTTTGACTCTATATCCCTTTAGTTGCAAGCTTCGGTTGGACTTTCTGGCTAGTCGATTTCGTGTAGGTGCCCTCTAACGCGGAATTTACTCCGAACTACGTGGTTTTAATATTTAAGGAGTTAATTTGGGCTTCTCTGAGAGATGGGTTTTCCCGTGGGTTTCCGTAGGCTAAGGGGCACAGTTGTCTAACTTGACTACAGAAAAATTAAAAGTTTTATTAATTTTTATTGTATTTAGAGGGTATCTCCAGAATTAGGCAAAAATTGATGCTTGAATGTGTAACTGCGGAGGTGCTGAGTTTACCTTGTTGAATCATATTTAATTGAAGAGATCACATGATTCGCTTGCCCTATACAATTATTTGCGGAGATCATTGGGGGTAAAGCACATGCTTTTCTTGCTTATGGTTCACTTAGTTATATTCAAGAATGGCTGCTTAAAATTTTTAGTTCCTTTGCAATTGCTTCTAGCATACTTATAAGCTATGTTGGAAAACTAGTAAGACTTGTGAATAATACTGGTATATTTAAGGTTTTAGGGATTTCCATGGAGCATAATCTTTTCCCCTCATGAAAATGCGTGCATGGTGTATTTTCCTCCTATGGTTCATTTGAACTACTGTCTGGTTCCGTTCTTTTAACATATTCAGTTCTGTCTTCTGTGTACATTTATCAGGGGCTGTATCCTAATAATCAGCACTTCTGTTCATACTTGGCGGATTGGTGCCATTTGCTATATGGTGAAGGGTGGTTTTTGTGTGTAATTTTATGAACATTCGGTCAGAGAAATTTGTAGATGATGGGGATCATTTCTCGCAGGTATGAGTCATATTTATTAAAAAAATTTTATGCTAATCATTCTCAGTAATGATTTTTAATGGCATCAACTTCTTTTTGGCTGCAGTCCGACTAATAGAAAACCAAGTGAAAGTATGAGGCTTATTGTAACTACTTTTGTTGGAGTGATTTTTGGCTTCTTCATAGGTGTATCGTTCCCAAAACTGTCAATAACAAAGGTTCGACATACTTTCATTGTCTTCATTCTATTCAGGGGGTACTACATACATGAGTGGAATATCTGAGTATATAATGTTGATGTGATCCCATTGTGGTTATGAATCGAAAACTTTGATTATAGTCTTACTGTTGACACTCCCATATCTCTTGTTTCTTTCATCCTTCTAAGGTGCACCTTATATTTGGGTGAATATCTGACAATTTTTTGATGACTTGATGTTATTACACTTTTGTGGAACACTAACCGTGATTATAAATATGCAGTTGAGTCTTCCATCCAGCCTGCTTCCATCCATTGATCTCACTTACATTGAAGACAAATATACAGGTAGCTATACTTGGTCATTTATGAGGAGTTCCAACAGAAGCTCATCACAAGATCAATCATTGATTGATTCATCAAAGGTGCACTTCTTTTCCCTCTCATTTTTTGTAAGGATGTTTGTACTATCTTTGATTGAGGGGAAGAGTATAGATATTTAGATTATGCTTATGAATAGTTACAAACAAGTCTTCAAATTCTCCCAAGATTATGCACTTATGATATGAAGGATGCTACGGAAGGCAGTGGATTTCACTTCTGTCTTGCCTCACCCAACAAAGAATTTGCAGAAAATGGAAAGGAATAATCAAATTCTTGTGTTTGTTGAGGCTGAAAGTAAATTTTAGTACGAGAGGACTCCAATGATCAACCCAACAATGAAATTGGATTCCTTGCCATGGAACGAAGCATCTAATGGCCATTTTCTCCTGCCTTGAGAGCCTAATGACCATCTCGCCATCCACTCATGTGCCCTCTGCTTACTCTCTCCACCCTCTCTCATCTCTTTCCTCCCCCACTCCTTTCTTTCTCCCCCTCTCTCACATGCACACTTTTTATGATCGTCAATCTTCAATAATTTTTATGGGGATTCTGGACTTTTCACATCATAAGCATTCCTTTCCATCATTTTAATACGCATACCAAAGAAATTTCACTTCAGGATTTCATTTGTTTTTCTTTACATACCAGATATAGTTTTTGGTCTGAAAATTGCATTCTATTAAGGTCAATTCCTTTTCTTCCCCCATTCCTATCCCAATTTCTTTAGAATCCAGACCCACATACCAAATAGGCCTTGAATATATTGGGAGGTATTTTTTGCCAACATATTTGGAAGCATGCCTAATGAACAAAACAGGGTGTATATATGTGTTTCTAACAGATCTCTTTTTCTTGTATTTTTATAAGCTATTATTGACGTGGCCTTTCAAATATAGTGTGGAATAGTTGTTGCAAGCAAATGCTGTGGATCTGTTACAATAGCATAGAGGATGAAAATAGGTTCCAGCAACTTGAGAATATCAAAAGGACCCTCTTTTTCCCCCTCCAACCTTTTTCATTTTTATGAACGTTGTTTTATCAGAAAATTCCTTACGTAGTAGGCGACTTACATTATTATTCAAGAATTCGTTTTTTATTATTGTACAATAATATCGGAAAAAAGTATCTTGCCAAAATTTATATTGATCAGGCATTTGCTCTTTATTTACTTGCTTCTCTGCAGATTTGGGTTCCATCAAATCCAAGAGGTGCAGAAATGTTACCTCCTGGAATAGTTGAAGCTGAGTCAGACTTTTACTTGCGTAGATTGTGGGGTAAACCTAGTGAGGTGTGCATCCTAAGAGCACTCATTGTCTCCATGCTGCTATATGATCTCCAATTGCCACAAAAGAAACTTCTTTTTATTTCATATTGTTTCTTTTACTTTTTTTAAAAAAAATTTTCTACATGTTTTTTCCTTGTTGGGTGTGATTGGTACATAGAGTGTGTGTTTCTTTCGAGGCACAGAATTAATGCAACAGATTGAGGTACTGTTGAGCTTTTCACAGCTATCAACAGAACTTGTTAAACTGAGGTCTTACATTTTTTAAACTGACTAATACCACTGTTTGAGAATGAAATGATTTTTGGAATGTAACACTGACAAGTAGTTTACTACATTTTTTTTTTTTGGTTCCAGTTTTATTTTTGGTTGTTGTTTGGTTAGTATCTGAATAATGAGCATTTATTATGTTGTTTTTTTGCAGGATTTAGCCTTCAAGCCAAAGTATCTTGTAACCTTCACTGTTGGCTATAATCAAAAAGATAATATTGATGCAGCTGTTAAAAAGGTGTCTATTCTCTCTTTTTGGCTGCATGTCTGTATTTATGTGTCTTGTGATTTGATAAGTTACTTGAACAGTTCTCAGAAGACTTCACAATCCTTCTCTTTCATTATGATGGCCGAACAAGTGAGTGGGATGAGTTCGAGTGGTCCAAGAAGGCTATTCATATAAGTGCTCGTAAACAGACCAAATGGTAAGAAGCTTTTTATTGCCTTTTTTTTTTTTTTTTTAAAACAATAACCATAATGCTTTACGGCCTAAATTGATGGTGACTATTTGATTTCTTACTGCCTAGGTGGTATGCCAAGCGGTTTCTGCATCCTGACATTGTGGCACCATATGACTATATATTTATGTGGGATGAAGACCTAGGGGTTGAGCACTTTAATGCAGAGGAGTTAGTATTTGATATGAAAATTTTTTTATCATGTTTTATTTTTTGTTTTACTGAAGATGTTGTATTCTTCTCTCAACTCAATTGCAGATACTTAAAGCTGGTGAGGAAGCATGGCTTAGAGATTTCACAGCCTGGCCTGGAACCTAATAAAGGGTTGACATGGCAGATGACAAAGAGAAGAGGTGATCAAGAAGTTCACAAGTAAGAATGATGGGAGTACTGTATTGGTTTTCTAGTTGTGCATGTTTTGTGTAAGAATCGAAACTAATTGAATATTCATTGAATTTTTGTCAGAGTAACAGAGGAGAAACCAGGATGGTGTTCCAACCCTCATCTACCTCCTTGTGCAGCGTAAGTAATTGCTTGTCCCCAAAGTACTATTATTGTACTGTTTGGATGGACTTTCTGTGTTGATCGTATCACATCAATGCAGGTTTGTTGAGATCATGGCTCCGGTTTTTTCGCGAGATGCTTGGCGCTGTGTGTGGCACATGATTCAGGTTTGAACTGTTGCTCTTAATTGAATCTCTTTCATGTTTAAAGTTATTTAACATATTAGATTACTCGTTTGTCCCAATCATTGACAATTGTAAACTTCGGTACTGCAGAATGACTTGGTCCATGGGTGGGGCCTTGATTTTGCTCTGAGAAAATGTGTTGAGGTAAGTTCATTTTGTCATTACTTTATAATCTATTTTGTTAGCTATTAAATTCTTATTTTCTTGGGGTGGCGGTGGTCTTAGTAGAGGCACACGCCAAAGAGAAGAAAAATAAATTACAATTGTGACATGCAATGCTACTTCAGACTGATTCTTCTCTGTTTGAAATAGCCTGCTCATGAGAAGATTGGAGTTGTTGATTCTCAGTGGATTGTCCACCAAGGTGTTCCTTCACTAGGGAATCAGGTAATTTTGTATGGCATGCTTTAAGTTTATTTGATTTATTAATTATTATCAATTTTGCCCATTAAAAAAAATAAAAAGAAAAGAAGATACCAGAATAGATATTCTTATGTATTTTTTCTGTGCTTTGTAGGGAGAAGCTCACACCGGTAAAGCACCATGGCAGGGGGTACGTATTGAATCCTCCCCCCCCCCCCCAAAAAAAAAAAAAAAAAAGCTTAATTACATTTTAGCTGGTTGCTTACATACTTGATACTTCTAATGATCAATATAAACAATAATAACGTGGTGTTTTGTTCATTTTTCTCACCCAAAGATTTCATAACAATAAATTAGTCAAGAACTTGAATGTTTATAATGAGGGAAGGTTTTGCGTTTGGTGGAATTTTTTTTTTTAAATTTAAATGTCTGATGTTTTAATGGTTGTGATGATAGGTGAGGGAAAGATGTAGAAAGGAGTGGACTATGTTCCAGAGTCGTCTGACGAAAGCAGAAAACGAATATTACAAGGCCATGGGAATTCATCCTTCCAATTCCACAGCTCACTAGGCACAATGAAGAAACCGAAAAAGAAAACGGGGGGAAAAAAAAAAGACATGTACACAGCTACCACCACCTCCACCACTGTGCTTAGTTATTTTCATTACAATTTTTTATGCCTTGTTCTCACGCATGTAGCCTCCTCGGTTATGTTAAGGAGAGTCCTAGTTTAGGACAATCTGGAACACTTTTGATGTATCTGGTTTATTTGATTATATTAATATTACAATCATATTCTTGGAATACACTGATGGAGCAGAGTGAAAATTTTGATGTTTTGTTGTGAACGAGGACAAAGGAAGCTGTCTGTTCACTTGCTGTAATGGACATAGGCCTACACCAAGGTGATGTTACTCCTTTTGTTCTTAGCCTATACACTAATCATCTATAGGCTAATATCTCTCTAAAGATAAGGAATATTCGTTAGAATTTGCTGTAATCTCTATATATGGGGCTATCTGTGTAATGGGGTGATGCTGGTTTGACCGTGATATGGATTTGGCTGGTTTATTGAATTAAATTGTGGTTTGTCTGGGAGCTAAAAGTAGACACAAATTGAGGAAGTCGGAATTGTCATGAAAGGGACAAATGGTTTGAAAGCATTATTTTTGAGGTTAAGCTGCAAGTGAGGGAAGATGCTAGGCCTCAGAACCGCGAAAGGTGGGCATGTGTGCCACCAGTCACAACCGTTGTGGCCACCGCATGCCTCCACACAACACGTGGCTTCCTCATCTTTCTTCACTTCACCGGTGAGAATCCCACTTGCAGATTTTGAGTGGTGGATTTTGGTCAAGCTTCTCTGGTTTTTTCCTCTGCTAACCATAAAACACAAGCTTTCACCATTTCATTTGAAGAGAATCCAAGCCCTATATATAGATTCTCTTGACAATATCCTTTTTGGGCTCAATGAGTTTGGATGAGTATGTTTTTGAAGGTTGTCATGGTTGGGACAAGTTTTACTGATTCGTTTCTGTTATGAATGTTGAAGTTAGTTAAAGAGTTTATTTTGACTCGAAATATAATATTTTAATTATTTTGTCTTTTATATATATATATATTTCCTTGAACCACCTCTACGGTTTAACAAGTCAATATTTATTTCAACTACTTTTTGTTTAGTTATTTATTACTTTTGTGTAGTTTTATTTATACAAAAATAGTCATTGAAATTTTAAAAATAATAGTAGTTAATAATTAAACTAGAATGGTCAATAACTATATAAAAATTATCACTGTGAGGGCAATATTGTTAGTTTATAATATTTTAAAATTTCAAAATAATGTAAAGGGTCTGATTTGATATTTTTAAGTTTATTCATCATAATTTGTCTTTTAACATTTTTTAGAATATTTTAGCGTCTTTTTTTCTTAGTTTTTTGTCTTTTATATTTATTTATTTTTCCTGAACCACTCTACAATTTAAGAAGTTAATAGACATTTTTTACAAATAATTAACTAACCTTGATGAATTAATTAACTAGTTATATTTACAGTCAACTTATCAAAAGTTTCTATAATTTTTTTTTTTGGTTAAGAAATCTAATCTTAGGGTCGAAGTCAAGGTAATATTTACAATTATTATCACCATGTTAACAACATATCTCCGTGAACTTTAGTTAAAATTGATTATAATCCCAAAGATTGATTTCTTAATTGGGGAAAAAAAAAATCAGAGTTTGACCCAAAAATCATGTTTTTCGTACTTGTAAATTATCTACTAAAACACGTGTGAGACTGATGAGAATGACGCTTAACAAAATGTTCATTCACTTTTCACATTACAGCACAGGTTGAAGATGCACTTTCACTGCTATGCACGTGTGCCACGTTGAAGCCCTGTCCCTACCACCCTGGTTAACCCCATGAACCTAACCTTGGTTAGGGTTTCCGTGGTTAGGATCTGTTGCTCTGTATTTATCAAGCCAGCCCAATCTTGTTCGACGCTGGCCTTTTTCTGGGCGTCTCTGTTCCATATCTCCTCCCCTGTTTTCCTCTGCTCAATTACAGAGAGATAAATGTGCGCGCACACACCTTGAAACAGGAAAGAAGACGAAGAACAACTATGGGTCTCTCAAATATCCCAAATTTAGCTGAAGGGGTACTTCCTGTACTTGTGGTGAACACAGTTCTGTCAGTAGTTCTGCTCAAGAACATGCTGAGATCTGTGCTGGAAGCCGTTGGAGTGACATCCTCGTCCTCCTCCTCATCGTCATCTTCATCGTATTCCCAGAACATGGAGGAAGATACAGATGAAGAAATAGAGCGAGAGAGTTGGAGAAGGAGGAGAGTGTCAATAACACAGTACAAGGTTTGTCAAGAAACAACAACAACAACAACAACAAGTGACTCTGGTCCGAGTGTCGGTGGTGGATTGGGTACGGTGGAGTGCAGCGTATGTCTATGTGGGTTCGAAGCAAATCAGGAGGTCAGTGAATTGCCCTGCAAGCATTTCTTCCACACAGCTTGCTTGGACAAGTGGTTCAATAACAAACACTTGACTTGTCCTCTGTGTCGTTCCATAGATTAGATTAGATCCTCACAAACCAATCTCAAAATACGTCTTTTTTCTTTTCCTTTTCTTAATGTTTAATCTGTGACCCTTAATCTCCTGAACTCAAAGTCCTTCCTTTATTTGTTTGTCCTCTTTCATGGATTCATTTTTGACCAAAATCGTAGCAGATTCTGATGATTTTTGTTCATATGTGAAGTGAAATCGTTAAAAAAGGTTGCGTAATGACGGGATGGAAATATATACTTCTGAATTTGATTCCGATGAATAAAATTGAATTTGAGTGCAGTTTAGGTGCGTGTAAAGTTTTCCGGCCACCATTCCGGTGGTCCGGCGGCGTGGGGATGAGTTCGATTCTATAGAGGTGGATCGTATCACTTGGTTCATAGTAATTCTTGATTCCAAGCATTTCTGGAATTGCTCTGTTTTTATTATACTGAGGTTATGCCTGTCTTGTTCTTTAATCTCCCTGCAAGCTTATGTCAAGTTTAAATTAATAAAATTTCTACTTTCAATCTAAACATGTTTTTCTAAAAATATATCATACTTTGAATCTCAATAAAAAGAAGGGAAAATTGTCGTAAAGTCACTGTTTGGGATCTTTTTTCCCCCTTGAAAGGACTTGGATTAATCGGTTACAACTCATTTTTAGTAGGGAACTCTACTTAAACAATTGTGTGTAATCTATTTTCAGTTATATACAAATATCTTTCACTTTACGTTTGAAGATAAATTGCAAATAATTAAAAAAGAGTTACATCCACTGAATTTGAGTTGTGCAAGGTTATTAAACAAAAATCCTCTATGTTTGGACTTTAAATATTTTAGTGGAAAATTTTTCAGTAATTTTTCATAAAAGAAATGGGGAAATTTCCGTTGCTGCGATTAATAATTAAAGCAGTTGTTTTCAAAATCTGGCCTTTTGAGATGTAAAAAATCTCAGTCAAGCACTGTTCAGTGACAACAAAAAATGTGAAATATACATACCAAACAGAATAATACAAAGAGTTAAAATATAGTGAGCACCCTGTAATATTTCTTGATTCATACAGTATTTTTAAGTACGTTCAGTACTTTAAAGTATTTTTTAATACTTCTCTGATCCTTAATATAATACCTATTTAACTAATTTGATTAGATTAAAGAAGTTAGGTAAGTTAGTTTATTATAAGAAAAGTGACACATTTTTTCTAAAACACCATAATCATCTTTTTAATACCCCTATCTTTCTTCTACTTGATTATAGTTGAGGGAGTATCTATAGGGGTAATTTAAAAAATTGATAAATATGAGAAATGAGTTTTATATTTAGGTCCAAAACCAACTCAAGAATTGAATCTTATATTAAGAACCGGAGGAGTATTTAATATCCTAAAACATTTTTTTGGGTGCATCCATCAGCGTTAAAAAAGTTTTGTGCACCACACATCAAGACAAAAAAAAAACTTCAAAGTACTAAACGTTCTTAAAAAAAAAAACTTCACGGTATTGATTGTATCATAAAATATTTTAAGATGCTAAGTGTATTAAACGTAATTTAACCGTAATATAAACCGCACATAAGATTTATGGTCGCATAAACACAATAATATATAGTACAACAACGTTAACTTATGCTGGTGCTGAGATGGTACTACAATCTCCAACCTCTCACATAAATATGACTAAAAAATGAACACAAAAATTAAAGTACGGCCTTCCCTCATCAGATGCATCAATTATTTTGATCAAATACTACAAAACTATAAATCACATATCACTCCCAAATTAGATCTCAAACTCCTCCATTGCACGTGTGCTGCAGCCAAGCTTGAGAGTAACTATTGTTCATAGCTTCCTATCTAAACAACTATAACTATATAGTTCGGTTTCATGTCAAAAACTATTAAAAATCATTATTTTTTTAAAGTATATAACTATACCTGCTATTATTAAAAAAAAAAACATGATTTTTTTGGTAGTTTCTAACATGAAACCAAATAAACATATACCATGTATAATATATATATATATATATGTATATATTCCTAATTACCTTGCACCTCACTTGAAGTCCGGTATAGCTATATATATATATATCAGTAAGGGTTGATGGACCTGAGCCTGGCTAACTGAATCCTGTCGTGTTCGTGCTTGATGAAAGCACCGGCTTCATCATCAACACTGTTGGGAGGTGAACCACGATCATTGTGAACGACGCCGTTTTCTGGTGGGGGCGCACCGCTGCCGGCGGTGCTGATGATCTCCTCTTGCTCAGCCTTAAATGCCACGTGGTGCTTGGGGCGGTGCTGCTGCTGCTGGTGCCGACGACTCCCGCCACCGTCATCTCCGTCTGTGAAGGAAGGGTTCCACGCTCTGTGGCGTCGTCCGTCGTAGTTTCTGGGGAAATATGGGTACTCCATTTTTAATTATCTGCTAGCTGCTTGCCTTGCTTTGTTTTTTCTCTGAATTGTTTGATCGTTGGCCATTGGGTTTATATAGGGAAGATATTTTGTCGTACACTCTCACCAGTGGTAACATTGAATCTGATGCCTCTGAACCCCACCACTAATAATGATATTTAGAGATATAGTAAGTAAATAATTACCATGAGAAATTAGTTAACTTTTCTGCCAAGAGATAAAAGTTTAGCCGTTAAATTTATCTTAAAATAAAAAATTTTCACGTTTTATTCCTAAAAAATAATAAAGTTGTCTTTAATTTTATACTTTTATCATCTCTCATCTCTTTTCTATGTTTAGTCATAAAAATCACACTAATTATCCTAATAACGTCTTATATTTTGGATCATATTTTTTTCCCTAACCAACGAGTTATATTATGAGGTGGAGAGAGTAATTTTTGAGTTGAGGAACGAACAAGATTGGAGAATTATGATGTGTGATTCGAAAGGCACCGCCATTGAATTGGGAATTGGAGGAGACAGAGACGTTAACGGAAGATTTGAATATATATATATATATATATATATATATATATTTCGTTCGTTTTGCCTGATTGATTGATGGTGTGTGAGAGAATACAATGCTCGATCTTGTTACTATTATCCTTCCACAATTGTGAATTTTGGTCGTTAAAGACAAAACCACGTGGATATTGTGTGTTAATGATTTGTTAATTGTTAAATTTTTTTTATCGGTTTAATAACTAATAATCAATCAAAATGGGCCCAAGGAAAAACCAATAAAGTGAAAGAATCTTGAAGAAAAGAGCATGTAATCAAATAAAAACATATATTGTTAAAATTAAATATTGACTTGCGGTGGTTACTCTTCTACCATGTTTGTCAGCTTCTACTTTGTGTATTTTTTGATGGAGGATTATTCTAGATGGATGGAAAGTGAAATCAATCAAATTCTCAGGAGTCAATTGGGAGAGTTGGGGTAGTTAGGAAATTTTGGTAGTTAGAAAGTTATTTGCTCCTATTTAATTAGAACTAAAAATGAAAAATTGCACAAAAAAAAAAATTTATATTAGAATTAAAAAAAGTGAGTTGCCTCGCCCCTAAGTTGGACAAGCTAGTTTGCACTTTTGACACGATAGGCCTTGTTGGCCCACCTTTAAATGGGTTTGGAAAATTTTTCCAACCCAACCCATGTTTTTTTGTTTTTGCCAAGTTGGTGAATACCATTTCTTCTGTTCTTTTTTATAAGATACATTTAACCGAATTGTATTGTTCAAAAAATTAATTAAGGTGCAGTAAATATATATAAAAAAATAAGTCTTATTTTTTTAAAAGTACCATCATTTACGTGGAAGAGGGAGAATGTGTAATAAATGTTTTACTTCGTCTTAACAGTGTTTAAACTAAACTTTCTCTCTCTTCCTCCCTACAAGAATAATGCTTCGGGCTTTGTGTTATATTCAGTACTTCAGCCCAAGTTTGTCAAACATGTGAATTAAATACGATGGTGGATTGAGTAATTTTCGTAATTAAATGAGGGTAAATTAAAAAGTTTACGAATAAATTTCAAGATAACTTTTAAGTGTCTCTTATCAAAAGAAACAAGGCATATCCAACAATTATATCTTATAAAAAGGATATAAGGGAGTAATGAATAATGATTCATTAGAACGCTTTTGAGGTGGAGTGGAGAGATATAGAGAGAAAATGGGATAAGGCGGGCTCTCTGGAGTGAAGGAATGAAATTTGGTTGAATGGAATTCCATGGAATGATGGAGGGAGAGGGAAATTCATGCAAACCAAATTGCTTTCCTTCTCTCTATTTCCCCCACTTTTTCATTTCCTTTTTAGTTATTTTTTTAAAAAACCAAACACAACATAAAAGAGGAGATGGCCCACGTCCTGTTTCCAATTTGCTCAAATGGATATAGATTTATTGATTAACATGAGTTAGAATTGAGCTTTTATGTTTGATTTCGGGCTCCTTTTATAGCCTAATTAACACTTTTGCACAAAAAAGGAAAGAAAAATATTCTCATGGATATGAAAGTAAGTTCAAATGTTCTAATCGAATAAGGGAAAGGCATATATTTCAGGCCAAATTTGAATGGCCCATGTGAGTAATTCCGCCAAGTTAGGATATGCCTTATGGGGAAGGAAAAGCATCCCATTCCATAAATTATTTTGATATGGTGTCTTCTTTTGCCAACATTTATATATATATATATATATATATATATGTGTCATGGTTTATTAATTATTAAACATCATTTTGTTGAATACTAGACCCTTTTTACGTCATGGAAGATTTTTAAAATTATCAAGTATTGGAATTAATTTCTCTGCTATATATTTATTTAATTTGAAATAAGTTTCTTGGAAAACAAACCCATTATCCCCCCAAAAAAAAAGAATTAAAATGATATTAGCCAATAACAAACTCACACATCATTTACAAAACATAAAATAAACCAGGATAATTGTTAAGAGAAGAAAAGAGATTAACTGGCGGGAAGGGAAAGGGAGCCACATGAGCATCAAAAGAGGCAAAAGATTTGAAGAAGGAGATGATGTCTTGATGAATAATATTGCAATAATCCAATTCCTTTGAGTTGGTAAGTAAAAGGAAATTCTTTGAAAGGCAGAAGAAATTTTCAATCTATCTCTTATAGTGCTTGTGAAAAATTAAGAATAAATGATCCAGCTCAAAATTGTGCGAAGACATTTTAGCAAGAAAAGACTGTTTTCAGAATAATGTTGCTTCTTTTTCAACTCAAAAAAACAAAGAAAAAAGAATAATGTTGCTTGTTCCATTAGAATTGCTAGAAAATGAAGTCTTGGAAGCACAACCAAGAGCAAGAAAAGGAATACCTCTTTGCCTTGTACTATTTTAAGAATATAGTCCAACTATTTTGGCATAACTACAAATGGCGAATATTTAGGATGAAGTAGGAAAAAGCTAGGTTAGAGAAAGAAAGTGTATTTTTAATTTCATGTATGATCAATTGGGAAGAAACAATTTTATCTTGATGCAGTCACTACAAAAAAATATGTCAATTGTAGCGGTTAAAGTGAGACATTTCTAGCGGTTTTAACCCTACAAATAAAATTTGTAGCGGTTAACAAAATCGCTAGAAAACCAGGCGCAAGAAAAAATTTCTAGCGGTTATGGCAACCGCTACACAGCATGGTCAAAACGCTAGACAATTTCTAGCGGTTAACCAACTGCTAGAAAATGCTGAAAGGGAAAAACAATTCTAGCGGTTTTATAACCGCTAGAAAAATTCTGAAAAAAATCTCATTTTGCCGGGAATTAAAAATTTTCATTAGGGCGCCAAAATTTCTAGCGGTTCAAGAACCGCTAGAAATTTCGGGGAAATCAAATTTTCCCAGCAATTAAATTTTTGGAATGGCGCCAAAAAAATTTCTAGCGGTTTGAACCGCTAGAAATGTTTTCCGTGCCAGAAAAAAAATTTGTGGTTTTTCATTATTAGAAAATATAATATTATAATTTTAAAAACCATTAAATAGATTATGTTGAAGAATTTTTGTTAATTTGTATAATTAGTTATGTGTTACATTTTATATATTTAAATTTTGTAATAAACAATATGTAATTAAATTATGAGTGTGTCAAAAGAAGTGAATTTAATTTAATAAGATAATTGAATTGAATATTTAATAAGATAGTTGAATTGAAGATGAGATAGTTTGTAATATTGAACCTATAGTGTTAGGTTGAGGAGTATTTGAATCAGTTGAGAAGGGCATGACAAGTGTGAAGAAGAAAAATCTGAAAGAAAAGGATAAATAAATATGTTAATAAATTTTAAGTAAAAACAAATAAAAGATACAATAATTTATAAAATAAAATTCACTTACCCATATAGTAAAGAGAAAGAAACCACCATATGAGAAAGTAAGAAAAAAAGAGAGAATTATGAGGAAGAATAGGAGAGGAAAGAAAAGAGATGGAGTAAATAAATGTAGAGAAGATATGATATTTATAGAGATCAGCGACACATTTGTAGCGGTTTTTTTGTAGCGGTTTTTTGCTTTTTGTAGCTGTTAGTCGTTTTCTAGCGTACACGTAACCGCTAGTAATTTGTAGCGGTTACATAACCGCTACAAATTTATTATTTTTTTATTTTTAAAAAGCTGTACCAATTTTAATTTATACATATGTCTTTATGGACGGAAAATTTTTTTTAATAATAAAAATAATTTTGGATGCTGCTATTCTCCATCATCATCCGGCCTGAAAGGACACATTTTAAAAAAATTTGTTAGAATTATAATGTATTTAGAAAAAATTAGTAATTAGTAGTTAATTATTTAAATAATTTAAGAAAAGACGTATACCTGATAATTGGCAAATTATCATCTCCTTGAGGAAAGAAGTCTTCAAAATTCGAGGGTTGGAAGGGTTCACTGTCATAAATAATGTCACCATCACCCATATCATAAAGATCCCATGGCTTGAGGTGAACGACTATATTCCAGTCTTTATGTTTCTCGTCCTCGACATAGTAAACCTGGTGTGCCTCAGAAGCAAGGATATATGGCTCATCATCTTCAGATGCCCCCGTATGAATAAGTCTAGAGAAATTAACTGAGGTGATGCCCAAATGGTCAGTAGCGAGTCCCCGTGAAGTTGTCGTATTTGCCCAAGAGCACTTGAACAGTGTCATGGTGAAAAGCTGGTAACTCAACTCAATAATGTCAATTAGCTTTCCATAGTAAGTGACGCCTCCAAAGTGCATATCGCCATCACTGCTGCTAGCATAACATCTTGTTCCGAATGTCCCGCAAACTCCAGAGTTTTGTGTGAGCAATCCCTGATTACGTCCAACCGTACAGAACTTGAAGCCGTTGACATTATACGCGGTAAACCTTCGTGCATGGTCTAATAGACCGAGAGAAAGAGCTTTGAATTCATCTGTGTATGGGCTGTTGTCATTACGTATTTGACGTGTAAACCAACTGGGAAACTCTTTGTGGACTCTTTTATCAATGTCAGCAGAACACGCATGCCCCCA